AATCGTTTAGCACTACATATGTTTCGGAAATTTATTTTTTTCCATTTTCAGTGCAGTCAAAAGTTAAAAATTAAAAAAAAAAAACAAGGGTACGATTACAAACAGTTTATAAATACGAATACACCTTCACACGATGAAAGAAAAAGATGGGGTCCTGTTATTTTAAAAATTTATAAACTGTAATTGTCCCCTTGTTTTTTTTTTAATTTTTAACTATTGACTGCACCCGAAGATGGAAAAAAAAATCCGAAACATATGTAGTGCTAAACGATTGAAAATAAAAACAATGACAGATTAAACCAAGGAAATTTTTATTTATATAAAATTCTACTACGGTCAGGAAATTATCCTTATTCAAATTACTTTTTTGTAAGCAGATTCTGAGACCATGAAACTTAAAAAATTCGAATCATGATGGCCCTAGGGCCGCAAAATCGGTTAATATTTTAACTTTTAGAATAATTATTGAAGAGGAGTTAGTTGAGTTTCTCTAGATACAGTCTGTTCTATAAAGTTGGATCCATATGGTAGGACATTCAAGTCTGCTTTTTTAAAAATTTAAAATCGTCCATATTAAAGTTGATTAGGTACTGCATTAGTTATCTGTTAAATTCAGTATTTTTTGAAAAATCGTTTAAAAATGTTATTTTTTCTTTACCCACATGAATATTAGCTTATCTACGCACACATTACAAAACGAAAAAGTATGCTAGTGCCTTCAACTGAACGAATATATTTCATATCCACTCTAGGTAGTCAGAACACTGCAATAGTATATTATGCAATGATCATGTAATAACCATTACATGAGAGTTGCATACGCTCTTTTTTCTACACCCGATAAATAATCAAGAACTATAAATATTATATTTATATTTGTATTGAACACAATAACAGTAATTACTCGTATTTCTATAAAAAATTCTACAAAATTGTACTTAATGGTATTACCTCGGGTATTGGTATTACCATAGATTTTTGGGGCAAAATTATTTTGTACTGCATTTTCTGCTTTCTCCGATATGTGTGGGGAGTCGATGGTAAGTCTTCTATATCGCTGATATCAGACATTTTGATAATATAATTATCGAAGTTTAGCTATCTACGTAAATTTAATACGTACTGATTTTGACAACTAAAACGATTACATAGGAACCTAGGACAAACGTTAAATGCACAGCATGCTTGATTGAAAAATTATGGGTTTCTATTGATTAAAAATCTGTATTGTTATGAAACAGATTATGGGCATATAAGTGCATTATTATAATAGGAGCGTAGAAAAAAAAATTAAATCCACCAATCACAGTTCAATTTTGATCAACCAACTGCTATTATTTTTAAAATTTTAAATAAGTGACAATTCTGTCAAACTAATTATTTATATAAGTATATTTTTTAAATATTGAGATTAATACATTAAAATGAGTCATTCTTGTATAGAATCGATTAATAATAGAATTTATATTTTTATTTCTTCTATAATTATAATTTGTTAATTTAAATAAAACTATATAAAGTCAATTTAATAACGAGTGTTAAAGGAAAAAAAAAATAAACACGTAGATGATCCTGTGATTAGGGTTCTTGCCTTCCATTCGGAAGACTCGAGTTCAAATCGCAGATGGATAAAAAGGAAATGAATTTTCTTTCTTTTTTTTTTTCTTGTATATTTTATAAATTAGTAAAAGTCGTAATTTATTTTTAAATTAATTATTATTTTAATATTTGTAGATTTTCGTAGTAGGTCGTAAAAAAAATATACTATACAATTCGAGTGGATTGTCCATATCGCACTTAGACGATTGAGCACTCCGCCTACGGCGGATATGGCTATTATATCCACTCCTGTTGCACAAACTACTATTTCGTTTTATGTCTGGAGTTTCGTAGATTTTTATTTTTCAAATTGAAACAATTACTGCAGCAAAGGATACAAAATTTTCTACAGTGATAGTATGCCCTGCTAGTTAATAGAAGACACATGGGCGCACATACGAGGGGGGTGTAATGAGGGCAATTACCCACCCAAGAATTTTTAAACACAACTTTGTATAGGTATGTATGAGCCTACGAAAATTATGAATGAATTAAATCTATGTATAATTATGTAATATGTACATGAAAGTAATCTTCCCATCGCAAAAAGATATCTACCTACGCCACTGCCTAGGTATATTTGTTAATATTTTATTCTTTTTAATTTATACAAACGTGCCCCTGAAAGAGTTGAACCACTTTAAGTCGCCCCGGAGTGCCACGGCAAAAAATAATAATAATAATAGCCGCCCCTTCCCTTACATAAGTCGCTTAGTCGACTTCAGGGGTTGAAATTCACTCTTAAAGGGGTGAATTAGGGAGAGTATTATTATATACTATTATTACCAGGTCCCGTCACTTAGCGCTTATATCTTAATGAATTAACTAACTACATAAAAACAATGATGTGTTTACAAATAAAACAAACATCTCGGCGATATACGGGAATCTCTACGTCTAGACTAAAATAACACACGCGGGTCCACAATCTTGAAAATCTGTGAACAGACAGGTATCACCAACTGTCAAATCTTTTTAAACACACGCCCGTCCCAACAGATAGGTATTATACCTACCTACCAAAGAAAACAATGCAAGATTTTAAAACCTTCCGGTACAACAGATGTCACGAACGCAACAAAAACAAGGGAAGTCGTAAATAAATGAAAAATGATTTGACCCAGCCTACACTGACACTTAAAAACACACCAGGTAATACCTAGTGGATTGACCAATAAGTTCATTCACAAAGTAAAAAAGGCGTGGGCGTACAACCTATTATGAGGACAATTATTATGAGTTAGCTGGTCGTTTTGTAAACTGCGAAATAAAACACCGGCTGCCGATAATCAAACCAGATTTGCCTGCTAAGCTCTCTTATGAATGAAAAATGGAACCATTGATTGTTATACTATGAATGATAGTCGAGGTACTTATGACAGAAAGTGTACAGATAAGGTATATCGAAGGACCACAGTCTACTATTCTTGATGCATTCGGCTAATTACGCTTTGTTAACATGTAATTAAACGAATTTCCTGTCGAATTAATCGCAGTAAACTGTGAAAATATCATGGCCGACATTCTACCCTATTTGGGGGTGTATCTGCGGGGTGAAAAATGTACTTACTCTTCACTTCTTAGATCGGTCATGGTTTGTCTTGTGGATTATCCTACTTTTGGAAGTCCATTTTTTTAAGCACCACATTTTTATACCACATCAAAACCAACTTATCAACACGGGAATAACCATTGAACTAAAATACTGTTAATTTCGGACTGACATCTAGCGACGCACTGCGCTTGCGTCGACTAGCGCGCCGACTTGTTGGCTCTAGCTTTTGAATTTGCCCGCCTTTCCGCTTTTATTGATTTATTTTCAAGCCAATTCTTACTTCTTGTCCGAGTATTGAAATAATAAATGCGAGTACCGCCCCCTGGCAATACACCAAATTTTCTAGGCCTCATTGTCACGAACCCTTTACGAAAAACTACACGTTAATTCATTTTGCTGACGAAAAAATTATAAATATACCTACAATAAATCTGAAAATCGCGGTGGGTACGTATTGCTTCCACAAAATAAGACTGGAAATATCATAAATTAAATAAATTTATTTATAGTTAAATTAATAAGCACCAAAGCACGATATTTCACAAACAGAAATTACATAGGTACCTACCCAACTTTCATAAGTAATTTATAATACATTATTTATTTATCTAGAGATAGGTATAGGTACCTACCTAGGTATATAGTTAGGTATTATGAAAAAGCATTGAATAGGTACCTACCTATTTTGTCCTTACTATTCCAAAGAGAACCTAACTTTCATAACTATAGTTTATGTGTTAATCTACTATTTACAGTATTTACCTATACAGATCTAAAAACTAAAAAATATTTATAATAGAATTTTAATTTGTGAGGAGAATGAAATATTTTTAAACCCTTAGAATCTCGAATAATACATAAAAAAATGTTTTCCAAAAGCTTTTTAAAAATTAAATGTCAAGGATGTGGTTTTTGTCAATGAACGAGAAAATATAGCAGATAGGCAACCAACAATGCAGTTTGGCACTATTGTATGGATTGGTTTTCGTCTACCGTGATTATTTAAATTTATAATTCATTCATGTTTACATGCGGTAAAATTTACACCAGATAAATATAAATCACTGATAAGATCATTTAACAGAGGCGTAGGTGAAATAGGTAAACAAAAAACTATACGAGAATTTTTAAGAGTCTTGTATTTGAAGTTGTGTTTCTAATAAAGAAGATATCCATTTTTTTTAGATATTTATTTTATAACAAACAGAATTACTTACTAAAACTATATAGGTACTTGATATATTGAAGTAATTTTATTCAACTTCAATACCTTAAGGTAGGCATTTTTCGCGGCATAAACCAACATGAACGTTTATGATAGATTTTGATATTTAGACATATATAGAAGTTTAAATATCAAAATCAATCGTAAACGTTCATGTTTTTTTATGTCGCGAAAAATACCTTCTTATACCTATGTAGATATATCTACTAACTAAACTAAATTAGGACGAGTTTTATCTCAAAGATTGCTAAAATTTGGAGACGTGTGGCTAAGATGACAAAATGTTATCGTTAAATCGTATTTTATGTTATTGTTGTTATTATTATGAAGACTATAGTTATTATAAACATTATTGTTTTTGATTATTTCATCGTTTTTGATCAATATAGGTACCTATTTTATATCTATAAATCTACACTACCTCTAAATAAATATTCATCATTATACCTATGTCAGATAATTAGTAAGATCTGCATGATCTAGGAACACTTTATAAATTCCGAAGCAATGAAATTTTATTGAACTTATTCTAAATAATTTTATTGTTATAATTTGTATTTTATACTTACCTGTTTATTTAAAAGTAATTGACCACGCTTATGGCATTTTATCACGTACCAACTGTAAAATAGTAAAAATTGCACGGATTTTTGACAAAAAATGTCAAGTGAAAAATATGACCCTGCTTTGGGACAATTAAAAAAATGTAGTTTAACTAAAGGACAAAAAAATTTAGGTATAATCTAAAAATTACCCATGTGCATCCGAATATGTTTCAATTAAAAAATTTAGACAATGTTCCTTTCAGGAATATGGGATTCGTCGTCGACAAAGTCTCTGAAGATTCGTTCTACGAAAACTTGCTTCTGGGACTCTCAAAGGTCCTTGAAAGATCTCCATACGTGTCCAATTTGAACATGAATCGCTTCCAAGGTTTGAGGCAGATCGAAATACGGAACTGGGAGCACAACAACGCTATAAATCTACCGGAAAACTTGAAAGCTTTTTACAATTCTTCCAATGGTTTTCTGTACACTTACGAATTTTCTTATCAAGATGACAGTCAAGAAGGAGGGCGGGGTGCTGCGAGACAAGGAAAAATACAGGTTAATCAAATAGGCGATTTGGTGAGAATTTACGGGTACGAAACCAAAAACACTGCTTCGATAGAAAAAATCGGAGAAAAGCACAAATTGAATCTGTCCAAAGAAAGTAAAGTGTTTGAACTGTGCACAGTAGACGATAACGCGAAAGTAGCTTTAGTCTATACGAACTCGTACGAAGTACCGACGATATGGCTGTACTCCAACAAAAATATGACGTTTTACCACATAGCTAACGATTTCACAGTTTATTTCCGCATGTGCATCGCCCATCTGGGAATCCCCTGCTGGCAGTACGTCGTCTCAAAAGAAGGCCTTCCCGAATGGGCGAAAGAAATATTCACATTGCTAGCGCCGGGCGTCTTAAACGAAGAGAGAAATCTAGTGGAAATTCCGAAATTCAACGTAGACGAGGTCAATAAAATTGATCCGGGAATCTTTTTGAATAGTTCGCTTAGTTCTACTTCACTATTTCACTCGTTACATCAGACTAAGTCTAAGGAAAAGAAAATTAAGGCTATGCCTAAGAAGCAACCTAATAGTAGAGTAATTAAAACTATCAAATAAATTTAGAAATTAAAATGGTTGTTTTATTTACAAAAACTTTACCTTTTTTCTGGGAGTAATTAACCTCTACCACCCCTGTCATGATCGAAAAATGTTTCTAAAGTAGGCCGTGGAAAAAATCAGATTTAAGCCAGCCTATCTTTGACAATCATAGCCTACTTAAGAAACATATTTATTTATCACTTTTTACAATATACTTCAACCTAATTTTGTATTTTTTAGGAGAAAAAGAACTTCTTAACATGGTACAGTAAACGCCAAATCTAAAGAACCAGCGCAAATGCTCAAGTTCGTTTACTTAAAAATCGCCACGCCCATTCACAATTTAAACCTTGTCCTTGCTTACGGTCAGTAGCGTAACGACTAGATCATTGTTTGTTCTTTGTTTCTGTGTTTTGGTTAACGTAACTGGTTTTATTTTTGATAATGTCTTCTATTGTGGGTGAAAAAAAGCGCAGATCTGTTATTAACGGACAAAGTCGTGAAGTAATATATAATGTTTTTAAATATTTTGACGCAATAAAAAAGGAAGGAGTTACTTTTAGATGATATCAAACTTCAAACTGCACAAGCAACAGGTAAACATATTCTGTAGTTTATTTGCAATTAAACTTGCGTAGTTTTCTATATTTTTTTGTATTTTACACGCATATCCTATGCATTTTATTTTTGACTAATATTTTATATTTAATTTTTTAAATTTATCTTCTGTTTCTAAAGATTTTTGTTTCCTAATAAATGTAAAAAAATACTAAATTTAACATTAATATAATATTACGTTTTTACAGGTGTTTCTTATACTACCGTTAAAAGAATTTTAAAGGAAGGTAAACAGTCAATAGAAACATCTGGAAAAAAGACATTTTCCACACCTAGGAAAAACTTCGTCAAAAAATCAACCCTACGAATCTCCCTGAATATCAATTGAGGGACACGATTTTCATATAACAGAAAAGTCTCTTGTTACTGTTAAAAGGTTAAATTATAAAATTAAGGAAGATTTAGATATCCACACATCAGAAACTTCATTAAGAAGAGTCTTTAAAAAATTACGAATTTAAGTGGAGAAAAACACAAAATAATCGTAAAGTTTTGGTGGAAAAATCAAAATAAGAACTTTAAGAGTAAAATATTTGAGACAGATAAAATATTTTAGAAGTCAAAATAGACCAATCGTTTATTTAGATGAAACATATATACACAGCGGACATACTTCTTCCAAGAATTGGACAGACGATTCAACAAAAGGTTTGTTTTCTGTTATTTCTAAAGGCCAAAGGCTTATTATAGTTCACGGTGGGGGGAAATGGGTTTTATCAAAAATAGTTTGTTGATATTGAAATCAGGGACCAAGTCTGGAGATTATCATTCCGAAATTAATTCGAAAAATTACTGCAAATGGTTAAAAGAAAAGTTAATACATAATCTTCTACCTAATTCAATTGTTTGTGATAGTTATCACAATGTTCAGACAAATCGAGCACCTAATTCCAATTCTTTGAAGAATGATATGATCGAATGGTTGACAAAATACAACATACCTTTTAATTCAACAAGTTTGAAACCAGAGTTCTATGAACTGATTAAATCTCATAAGGACCGACATGTAACATATGCATTTGATGAGTTGTGTCGAGAATACGGCCACACCGCTTTACGGTTACCCCCATATCACCCCGACTTGAACCCTATCGAAGTGTTTTGGGCAACTGTTAAGAATAATGTCAGTCAAAGGAATGTTACCTTTAAATTAGAAGACGTAAAACAATTAGCAGAAGAGGAATTTAACAAAATCGGTATGGAGGAATGAAAAAAGTGATGCGATCATGTTATAAAGGTAGAAGATAAATGTTTTTAAAGAGAAATACAAACTGATTTATGTTCGGAAATTAATCCTATCGTCATTAATCCTAATGAGGATTCCAGTGACGAGTCTTCTTCCAACGAAGAATCTGACGAAGATATATGAACATTATTTATTTGTGATTTACTGTTTACGTTGTTTGTATTTACTTATAGGCTATATAATATAAAATTAAACATGTTTTTGTTTTTCTTAAATTTACGTAAAATCAGAAGTTATTTGGACTATCCAGTTTTAAAATGAAGACCCGGTATAAAAAATCGGAAGGATATATTACTTCATACACATATTTTGCTTATAAAAAATTAATGTCAGTTAAAAAACAAAATACTAGACCACCAGAGCTCCCCTTACCCTAAAGTCGGCTTACCTAAAAATAATGATTTTTTTAATTGACTATAGAATGATGTACTAATAATAACACTAAGCAATATGTAACAAGCATCATTCACTATTTTCCATTTATTTTGTCTTAAAATATACGCGTCCCTGGTTTACAACTTTCTATGTAAGCTACCAATTCTATTCATCGGTAGGCGTGTTCTTAGCATTATAAATGCGCGTCCTTGGTTCTTTAGATTTGGCGTTTACTGTAATAAATAAAACAAATTTTCTATACACAATTTTAATTATTTACATATAATATAAATAACGTAACTGTGAATAGGTATGCCTAACAAGTAAATAATTAAATCTACATCAGCTTTTATAGTCATTTACTTTGGTAATACATTTTTCAGGAATCAATCCTGAATTTATAATTGCACAATATATTATAATTAATTAATCGTATTTGACAGGCCATATTATTATTTAAAATAATAAATTACAAATTGACAAAGCTGTACTAATAGAGAGTTATCGCCACTCATCACTTTAAGAATACCGTAACCCTATTCCTTACCATATTCAGACTAAGGTTTAAACAAAAATGAGTGTTATCGCAAATGTCATTCTATACGGTAACGCTGATGGCTCAGCTGAATCCATTAGACGTTTGGTTTGAGCAGTTTGAAGTACATTTGAATTTAAGAGTGTTTTGTCAAAGGGTCATGAGTTGAAAACTCAATTAAAAATCGAATATCTTATTAAAATTATTGTTCTTCTTCTTGCAATAATAAAATATTTAGATGGTTTCTTACAAGAGAAAAATATTTTCCTTCTTGTTTACATTACTTTTCATTTCCCATCGATTAGGATCTTTAAACGCATTCTGAGTCAACACTTTTCTCACCAGTACAAAATTATTTTTCGATATAAATTTTAAACTTTATTATTCAAATTCGTACTTTGAAAATTTCATTACCCACTTGAAAATCAAATACACCTCATAATAATTTTATTTGATGCGAGAAGCACATTCCATCTTCCCACGACCCGAATGACATTTGCGGAATAGTTCAAATAGCCCCATTCATATACGAGTAAGTGACCGTATTCCAATTATAAGGTTTCCGTATTTTTCCTAAAATAAGGAAATACCGTATTCTTGTTTAGCACTATTTCTTACTAAAATAGTAATATGCATGCTTAGCTGTCAAAATAAGGTTACCGTCTTCAATCAAGACTTTGGCGATAACTCTCTAATAAGAAAATTATATTAGGGTCATTTATGAAAATAATGTGTCAAATGTCAGTTTTTAATGACATTTGACGTGATGCATGAAATAAGTCAAATGTTTTACAAATGAAAGTAAATATTTTTATAATAGATACAATATAGTTGGATTAAATATAAATAGTACATTAATTTAAACAGCCGGAAAAATTGACCAACAATAGTAGTAAAACTTTACTTGGGTTTCACTAAATTAAAAGTGGTCGTAGTACGAAGAGCATTGGTCCTTGCCATCAAAGGACTTTTTTCAGAAACAAAGTTATTCGGAGACTTTGACAATATTTCTTCACTGCCAAAAGCAAAATTCGGTGTACTTTCCAGCCATTTTTCTAAAAATTCCTGCTGGGTTTCTTTAGATTCGACGGTCGTCGCATTTTGGGAGTTTTGGTCGTCACAAGAAACTAACAGCGACGGTTCAGATCCTAATTCGAAATTTGTCCTCAGAACTAGACCATGCTCATCATCAGAATACGATCCTACAGATCTACTAAGTCTATTAGTTCCGTATTTACTAGAGTTTTCTTTCTTCTCACGTAAATTAACATCATTTATTTTGACAGGCAAAGTATCCGAAGTCGTCGCTAAAGGATCCGTACCTTGTTCTACTAACATCGGCTTTTTAGAAGCTGACGCTTTATCTATTTCTTTACCGTTCGTTATTTTTATGGAATTTGTGATGGAATTTGATTCTGAGGCTGTTGAGGATCCTAAAAAACGTTTATATATAGTTTGACGAATTTTTTTTAACAGCTGTCATTTTTAATATTTAAAAAACATTTGGAAAGGAGGACAATCTTATATGGATGTTTATTTCAAAAAGTGTCCACCCAAAAGCAGTAAATAAGGTTTCAGATAGTGTGATATCCATGACGCTTGTGTACTAGAAGATAAAGATCCAATGATATATAGTTATATAGATTGATTATTTATGAGTAAATCAGAAGACGAAAAGCACTATTGTTATATATTATCAAAATTTCTTTACGATTATAATCTGTCGTTTTTCACGATGTAGTTTTTAGACGATGGTTTAGCACACACATCTGTATCCTGTAACGTGTGGAATGTGGGTTAACCCACGGCACTTAAGCCTCACTAGGCCCATTGTGCATCCTCCTAAGTAGATAGACACCTCCTAGCTCGTGAGCCAGCCTACAGATTAGCCTATACATGTGTTAAGTGCAATTTTGGGAGAAACTGTGTTAAATACATGTACATACTTATATGATATATGTAATCAGAAAAAACTAAGAACTGTTGGAAGGGTTTGATAAATACATTTTATGTGAAATAACAGAGAGACATAGTTTCAAACCTTTAAACTTAAATTATGCAATAGCAAAATCTAACTTAACACACGTATGTACTGAAACATCGATAATCCCCCTTTTTACATGGGTGAGCTATCTATATAACTATAGACATCATTGGTGTAATTGTGTAATCTAAATGATCAACTGTCAAAACTTTATGCATCCTTCTGGTATAGTAACGCAATCTTAATTTCATACATTTTGAAGGTCACTTTTTGTAAACAGAGACAGTTCTCCTTGCCCCTACATTCCATAGGTATGGACTTAATTTTTGCAGTTTAGAATTCTATATTAAAGCTTGGCCCCACGTTGAGCGCCAAACTTTTTAACTTTAATTGTTTAACAATTTCTATAGCTAGAGGAACAAGTAAACATGATTTGAAATAATTTGTATTATAATGTACCGGAATTTTTGGTTTTGAAATTTGTAGGGAGAGTTAAATTTCAAGTTACCAAAAGTAAGAACCTGAGGAAAGCCACAAATAATTTATGCAGTGTTATCAATTGGAAGATAATTATCCGATTTGTGGATAATTTGGGTTAATGTCGGATAATAAACGGAAAATTTGAATATACAAACATTAAGTTTGATAACTTCAATCAAAACTTAGAATACAGATCTTCAAAATATGAGAACCTTTTTTCAAACATATTATTTAGAACGTTGAGGGCCGTTTGCACCGATATACATTTAAACCTAGTTTTGTTAAGTCAGCTTAAATATTTAAACGTGGCTTTATTTTTATCGAGTTGCACCGTCAATTTTTAATTTGGCTTTGTTAAGCGGTAACAATAGAACTACTGTGAGGGTAGAAGGTCCAATGATCACTTTTAACTATCTTCATGCCGAACACATAACCTAACTTTTTCTATGTTTCCATCAGGCTGTTTCGTGTTTCTTTTTATTTTTTATCTGATTCTAATTCGAGTATTGCCGCCACATTTTCCGCGTGTTAATCGAGCTGTTTTTTGATTGTTTTTTTTTTATAGTAATGGAAGGAAAAAGGCAACGCAGCACAAATTTTTCTCATGCGGAACAATCAATTTTATTAAATATAATTTCAAAATACAAAAATAAAATTGAAAATAAAAAAACAGTGTTTCGGTTAAAGAATAAAACAAAACATGAGAAAAAATACAGGAAGAGTTTAATGCTTTAGCACCAGACCATTCCTACAGAGCCGCCGTAATGCTTAAGAAATTTTACGAAAATAAAAAAAAATGTACGTAAAGTGGCGGCTCTGGAAAAAACAGAGATAATTAAAACGGGTGGTGGCCCCCCACTCAATATTAAAAAAGACTCTAACCATGATTTAATATTGGGCCTCATGAACGTGAAAACAGTGTACAGGTTAGACAATGAATTTGATTCTGATAATCAGATTATTGCACCGGAAGGCCCTGCTGAAAAAAGGTTAATTCACTATATGTCTAAAACGGATCATTTCTTAGGTAGATCTGTCGTGGAAATCCGTATTCTATGATTTCTAAAATATCTAGATCATCATCAAAAATTTCTTCATCGATATTCATTATAACTATTAAAAATTAAAATAATCCTAAAACGTGTAACGTAGAGAATAAATTATTTTTCTAGGTTAGAAAATACCGCTTAGCACATGGAGGAAAGATTAGCAAATAAAGCCGTCATTCTCGGCGACTTAAATCAAGTTTGGCTTTTAATACTTTAAACCCAGCTTACTGCTCCGTGCAAATGAATTTCGGTTTTAAGCCGGACTTATACCAAAGCCTAGCTTATAATACGTCGGTGCAAACGGCCCTGAATGTAGCTTTTATCAAATATATGTTTTGGATTATTTTCAAGTAAAAAACGTGTATCTTATCGTCTTCAACCATGTGCAACATTGCACTGAAATTATGTATAAATCAAAACAACGCGTTCATTAGATACGAATTTCTGATCTAGTCATAGAAGGTCTATGATTTTGGATTTCAAGTCGTGTTTTTAAGAGCTGATAAGGTAAGATTTATTTTGGTACATCATAGATGGTAGGCGAATAAATTATTTTCTACCTGAGAATTTATATCTTTACGCCAAATTACTACACAAAATACGAAAAACCAAAGAAACAAAAAATGACAGCAACTTCTACGTGAAAAAAAAACTTACCACAACATGCATCCACATCCGGTGCTCCCCTCCCCCTACCGGTGAACATAAAATTTCTAAACGAGTCCGAACTAATCTGTCTACTCATATAAGCCTCAGGCACAGCCAAAATTTCGCTCAACCCCCTACCGCATTCAGAGTGCACGCATTTTTTCCCACCACCGTTGTGTCTATCTACTCTATTCTCTCTACCGGGACTGCTGGACCGCTGTAGCCGGTTTTCGTGCCTGATGCAGTCAAGCAATGGATCTGAGACGTTGGATATCGTGTTGAAACTACGCAAAGAAACAAGCTTGTCGATTTCTAGCTTTTTTTGAAGCGGTACCTCGATTTTCGGCAACGGATGATGGTCGATTCTCAGATCTCTCGGACCTTGAAGGAATGTAAGAAGGTTGTAGAGTGTGGCTTTGAGATCGGTGGTGTTCATGTAGATCAGCCATCTGAATTGCGCCAGATTTTTGTTCAGAAGGTATACGGCGTAGGTGAATTGGGCTTTTTCTTTGCCTCTTGTATACAAGGGGAAACTAAAAATATTAAATATTAGTAGGATTGTATCATAGATACAGAATAAATATGATTTTATTGTCATGTGAAAATTACTAACTAAACAATAAATACAGTCCTAAAAATGATTTGCCAAAAGGCAGAGTTCACCTTTCAGGTTTGCTTTAGCAAAACATAAAAGCTGTTCTTCCACTGAACCTCAATAACTTTATAAAAAAAAAAACTAAAAACTAAAATTATAACCAAAATAATAAATAATACACAAGAAATGTTTAAATAGGATGTTACAAATTGAAACAATGTAACAGAAACAAAATAAATTAATATTAGGTGAGAAATTGCCAATGGAAGAAAGGAAAAAATGTGTGTTTGTAATAATTATTAATGATAGTCTTCTATTAATGTATGTTTCAGATTGAATACAAATAGAACTGTTTACATAATTGCTATCTTCAACAATAAGTCGCATATATTTTTGGATTCTGTATAACTTGTGGAGAGTGAGATACCCCACGGCACTTAAGCTTCACTAGGCCCATTGTGCATCCTCCTAAGGTGATAGACACCTCCTAGCTCGTGAGCCAGCCTATAGATTTAATGTAGTTGACAACGTCGCCAAGAGGTGCTTCTCTTATGTCAGCCGGTGTTAGCGTCGAACACTCGTAGAGGATATGCTCGCTGGTCTCATCTTCTTGTTCGCACGCTCTGCAGAGTGCGGATTCTGACAGCCCCATGATATGGAGATGCTTCCGTTCTTGACAATAAACAATCAGAAGGCCTGTGACTAGGTGCAGATTCTGTCTAGTCATAGTCAAGTATTTGTTTGCTGCAGTGTTGTCAGGATAACTTAAAAGCTCCCTGGCAACTCTGCAGTTTCTTGTTTCATCCCATCTATACTTGAATTTCACAAGAGAATGTTCTTTAATTAGGTATGTTACTACCGATTTTATCAGGCCAATAGAAGGGTCATTTCGTTTCATTATAATTATTACAAAATTAATTTTGATAATCATAATAATTATTGACATAGTAATATAGCATTTTAGTTTGTTGAGGGACAGAGGGTTATGTTTTTGAAGTGTTATAATTCCTTGTAAAAAGTTTTATTTAGTTGTAAAGTGTAAAATCTGAAGAATAATGCAAAACAAGAAATTTGCCAGCCACACAATATAAGGTAAGATACATTATATTATTAAATTATATATCACTGCATTTACATATTTATATTGTCATTATTTTTTGAAAATATAATAGATACTTTTACAGCGTTCTTTAATTTCTGGTCATTACAGCACCATTTGTAGGTTCATAAAAATATAAAATCATCGTACACACATTCCTAAGGTTTCAATTTAAATGTTCAACATGCATTTATTTAATTGTATTAAACTCATTGTAACTTTTATTTTTATATATGTAGAGCAGTAGCTTAATTTGAAGGAAGTCGTGTACTTATCCTGGGCCAACAAGTTTAATAGAATTTAATACATTTATGAGGATTTATTAACAACTGTAACTGCTTCTGAAACTTAGCAATACATAATGTCCAAGATTAGTATTTCACCACTAGCAGAAATATTTAGACTTTAGAGGGAAACTTGCTCTTATTTTTACCCAAAAAAAAAAGATATTAAAAATGTATCATATTTTAGTTTTATAAGTTATTCATATGGTATCTTAAATAAGTTAATTTTAGTCACAGATAATTATCAGCTAATAAAATGCTCGTTACATGAATAATAATTAGATTGTTACTAAAAATGTATACAAAAAAAGTACAATTTTATTAAATAAAATTCTTTTGAATGAATTGTTTGATATGTGGATTGTACCTATACTTATGAATATTGTTACTTACTCTCTTTCTTTATCAGGTAATAAGGGAGACACATTATCAGTAATGAAAGATCTTGATCCATAATGGGTCAAAGGGTATCTAATCGGCACTTGAAGGAAAGTTGAGCACATTATCAAAATATGAGCAATGTATCCTAAGGCTACAGAAAAGCCACTATCATTGCAATCTAAAACAGTATTGTATTAAATATTCTGTATTTTATTATCGTTAGTAACTGTATCACCTGCTAATACATCAGAATTGGGTAAATGTATGCCAATAATGGTGTATTTATCTTGGGAAGTCTTTTCTATAGGAAATATGAATAAGAGCTCTTTCAAAAGCTGCCTTCTTCTCTGTTGCAATTGGGAATAAATATTAGTGTACATTTCTCTGTGATGTATAAGATTCTTTTTGTATTCTTTTAATTTTTCTAAACCTCTACTTAGTTTGTGGTAATTCTCCATCAAATCAGAATCTGAAACAATTTGTAAATTTAGACATTGAATGCAGCATTCAAAATATACTCACTTCTTTCTTCATTATTTTCAACCATAGCTGCATGTTTCTGTTTAAGACTCCTAATTATCACAGATTTCTTCACCTTTTCTTGTGAAAGTAACTTCGTTTTAAATTTAGTTACTTCAATTTCTTTATTAATTTTAACCATCTCTTGTTTTTGAATGTGTGTAGGTTTTTCCTAATAAATTTAACACATTTAAAAATGCTAACTTAAGTTATGTGCCTTTATGTAAATACTGACCTGAAGCATTTTATTTAAAGAATTCATTGTAAGAAGCTGGGGAGCATATCTAATGTTACTAAATGAAGTACTTTGACTACAATTTCCTACATCTTTGTCTGTGGTTACGTTAAAACCATTCAACACATTAATTTTATCCCTAATATTCTGTACATCAGCCTCAGTTTTTCGAATCTGTACTTGCAAGTGGTGCAGTCTCTTAAGTTTTTCTATATTGTAACTAAAATCATCACAAATTATATATTGCTAAAAAAATCAAAAACTATCCTACCTAGGTTGAACCTCAAGGTGGTGATTTGACTTAACAGCTATCCTCTTATATATAACCTTATTTTTAGCAGTTTCTATGAGATTAACATTATTTATAAATGGTACAGGCTTCTGCAGGTCAGTTCTAATCACTTCATGACTAGTATAGAATCCACCCTGCATACAAAATATCACAGAATTCTTTTTAAAAAAGAATGGCTGAATGTCAGAAATCTTATTTCCTATATAACAAAGACCTGGAACAGATTTATTTAGATAAATTCAAGAAATATGAGTAACAGCTATTTTACCTGAAAAGTTTACACCCCAAGTTAAAATGATCTTGTCAGCTCCATTATCTGTGTGTTGCCATATTCTTAAAACTATACATGATGCAGATAGATTTGGCATATTCATTAGGTTTAATTCAGCCCATTTTGGATTTGGATTTGAAACAGATTCACTAGTATAGAATGGAGCACACATAGTTGTGAGATGTAACGTATAATAGTAGCTAGCTGCGTCTGTCCCAATGTTTAAACCCATTATTTGGTATACATGTCTTAGTCGAGACTAAAAATTATATTTTTATTATATCATATTATAAATATTTTTCAAAACACTGCTTTACTACACTTTATGCATTTATACCTGTTGTGTTATTAGAGGTACCCATTGTCGTACTCTTTGTCTCCCAAACATAAATTCTTGGGCAGAAAAATTCATGACATCTATAAAAACATACTTAAGTATAAGAAAAAAATATGTGTTTTAATTATAAACATACTTTATTGAAAACAGTCCTTTATAGTTGAATTTTATTATCTATTGTTGGAATGGTTATTAAAAATTGTTTAAAAATACAATAGTACGAAAATTGTTTTTTTTACATTACTGTCACTTTGACGTTCAGAGATAAATATGTCAATGTCAAAATTGGTTATTCTTATTTCTTTTGACCTTTCTGATGTTTTATTTTAGTTACTCTAGCCTTCATACAATCTGTTTTTTTAAACGTGCCTTTGACTATTTGTGAAGATTGTTAATTTTTAACAGTCTTTTACTACTCAAGTAATCGCATAGTCTTCTATAATTTTTTTTATATATCATGAACTATGTAGGTAAATAGCTACATTAGTGGTCTTTGACCACATACGATATTAGTACTCATTCTTTGATGGTCTTTTACTAAACACGTAATTTGTTAGCTTTCACTGACTAATAATGGTTTTGACGTTTGTCATGTTTCGTGGAGTGAGGTGTGGTGTTGACTAATTTTAATGTTGATAAAAGAAATAAATAAGTAGATAGGTGTTTTTCTTTAGTGGTAATTAAAATGGATAGTGAAGGTAGGAAAGTGATTGTTTGTGATAATGGTACGGGAGTAAGTATACATATTCGTCATAAAAAATGAAATTCTAGGACCCCCTTTTTTCAGTTCGTTAAGTGTGGCTATGCCGGTAGTAACTTCCCAGCCCATATATTTCCTTCAATGGTAGGAAGACCCATAATCAGGGCCGTCAATAAAATAGGTGATATCGAAGTTAAGGTAAGATTTGTTTACATAAGATGTATCTGTTTTTCCTGTGAAGCTATGTATTCAAGTATTCAATCTTTGATTATTTTTTAGGGTTTACATGTAGATGTAAGTTTTATCACATATTTAAATGTGTTCAGAATGCTTCCTTTTATATTATTAACATTTAAAAGTATTTTTAACACTTCTGATTTGACCATTGTTTAATAAACCCCCTTTTTTGAAAATATACATTTTGCTTTTTTTGCATTATGATAATACATAATTCCTGCAATATTCATTTGATTGAATACTGTTTCTTTCAATTGATAAATATGTTTTGTTTGCAGTTAAATTTTTGTTGCATTTTCCACCTATTTATTTTTAATGCAATTTTTATAAATTTAACACACACTCATTTTTCATGCTACAGGGAGTTGCAAGTACTCTTCCTGTAAGTAGAGCTAGTCATTAGCTCTTTATATGCATGTATTTGAAATTAGAAGTCCAAGGATATAATTTACATATATTTTTTATTAATTCAATATTTATAATAGGTATTCATTTTAGAAAAAGTTTTGAACATTTATCAATCTAATACTGTTTTTTCTAGTAATGAATCTAAACAAATTTTTGGATATTTACTCTACAAAGGAATTTTATTAAAATGGAATGTTTGTTTTTTGTACCAGTTTTTACTAATCCATAATTAATCATTTAGATACCTTGAATGTATAAAATTTTAGTTCATTAGTGACACATTGGGTTGTATACCAAAAATAAAAAACCTAATTATTTCCTTACTACATAGTTCATATTTAGCATTCATACAATTTTTGAGATACAACCTGATTTTAAATTCAAATTAGTATAAATGGCATTTTCAATTAATTGTTTGGCAGTAGTTTTTTTACGTTTAGTTTTATTTATATAGGATCTTATGGTAGGAGATGAAGCTTCAGCTCTTAGGTCACTTTTAGAAGTCAATTATCCCATGGAAAATGGAGTAGTTCGCAATTGGGAAGATATGTGCCATGTTTGGGATTACACTTTCGGTCCTAATAAGATGAATTTAGATCCAAAATATACCAAAGTATGCTTTTTATTTATATTTACATAATTTTTTGTTTCAATAAAGTTTTGTTACAGATTCTTTTGACTGAACCTCCGATGAATCCTACAAAAAATAGAGAAAAAATGATTGAAGTTATGTTTGAGAAGTATGGATTTGCTGGAGCTTATGTTGCCATTCAAGCAGTTTTGACACTTTATGCTCAGGGACTTTTATCTGGTGTAGTAGTTGATTCTGGTGATGGGGTAACCCATATCTGTCCAGTTTATGAAGAATATGCACTGCCACATCTCACTAGGAGGTTAGATATTGCTGGACGGGACATTACTCGTTATCTTATAAAACTTTTATTGCTCAGAGGATACGCTTTTAACCATTCTGCAGATTTCGAAACGGTAATATAAAAAAAATGCCCGAAAACATCCCTATTCTTTAAATTAATTTTTTTAGGTTAGAATGATGAAAGAAAAACTCTGTTACATAGGCTATGACATTGAAACTGAACAACGCTTAGCACTAGAAACAACAGTACTTGTAGAACCCTACACTTTACCAGATGGCCGTGTTATCAAGGTGGGTGGGGAGAGATTTGAAGCCCCAGAAGCTCTCTTCCAACCCCATTTGATTAATGTGGAAGGCCAAGGCATAGCAGAACTAGTTTTCAATACAATACAAGTAAGTGTCTTGTCAAAACATTGTTTTTAGCCTAAAAAACATTTCTACCGTCCTTATCTCCAAAATTATAATTAATAATTGTATGGTCTCTTAATCTGATCTTAACTAGATGGACTCTTCTATTTGACCTACAATTTTTACAAAATAACCTTACTGAAATAGATATCCTAATATACATATTTTAAATAATAATTATAATCACAATACTTATAACTCCTAAGAGAAATAAAAGTAAAATATATATATATATATAAGAAATGTCTTGTATAGAATATAAAAAAAAAAAATAACAGCTGCATCAAAGTATTTAAAAACAAAGGAAATAATTCCAAACTTAAATAAAACTCAAGGCCATTTGTCACAATAATACGAGCGGCCGTTTTTTCTTTTGAAAACTACTCCTTTGGCTAATACCTCACCAGGTATTGAATTACATCAAAAGAAAATGGCAGAGATAGAAAATATTGTCAACACTCTACCTTTGATTTTGTTTACTAAGGAACTAAAAAATAGTCAAACAAGAAAAACATAACGATTAGATTATTTGTTGTAGGCCGCCGATATTGACATGAGGTCTGAACTGTATAAGCACATAGTCCTCTCAGGGGGCTCTACGATGTACCCTGGTCTCCCTTCTCGACTGGAACGTGAAATAAAACAGCTGTATATGGAACGTGTACTTAAAAATGACATCGAGAAGCTCAATAAGTTCAAAATTCGAATAGAAGACCCGCCGAGAAGAAAAGACATGGTGTTCATAGGTGGAGCTGTATTAGCTGAAGTTATGAAAGACAGGGACGTTTTTTGGTTGTCTAAGCAAGAATATGAGGAGCAGGGCTTGAAAATATTGAAGAAACTTGGTGCAAGAGCTGTGTGAATAGTCCTTTATGTTTAAACAAATTGCGTTTTAGGCGTTTATTGAAAATTTAGGAAGTGAGGTTATGATGAAGCAATTCCAAATAGGTTGTCATCAATTTTTTAATAGTCAGATTGTACCTTAACGTCTCAAAAACAATAATATATTTATATTTAAAGTCATTTTGTTAAGATTTGCAATGCTTTCAATGTCTTGTCAAACTTCATTCTGTGACAAATATGACTGATGATGTTTGACAATTAAGACATACTGAACTAATGTATATAAACAGTATACATTGAAATTATGTTTAGTCCGATTATTTTTGTTTTTAAGACTTGAGGACTTTGTAAATTGTAAAAAAATGTATCTTAATTTTTAATTTTTCTCTTTGAAAATGTTTCGTGTTCCTTGTTTGAAATAATTATTGTGTTAATTAAAATGTTCAGCTTTCTTTGGAATTATAATTTATGATTTTTTAAGTTATAAAAAGAACTGTTACTATGAACTATTACTAAATAATTATACTTTTTGTAGCAATATCAGTAAGAAATATAAAATAATTAATATTTCAGTGCTATTGTCAATAATTATTTAAAAAAAAACTACCCAAGTATTTAAATATTTTTTATATTGTTTCGTACAATTTGTAAAGACTTATGTTTTATATTATATTCTTAATTTTAATATTATGTGCATTTTATTTTTATTAAGATTATTGTAGCATAATTTTATATTTACCTCGATAAATAAAGTTAATTACTTATTTATTTCTATTTATTTTTGTCGACTTGGCAACGACGCCAAAGCCTACTTCTCAAAGTCCCATTTGAAAGTTTTGCTCGTCATAAACTGCGAATGGTATTAAAAGTCAAATGATTGAATAATTGCTCATTTATTGTTTATGTTATATTTACCACATTGCTGTACCAGATGTAGAACCAGAATAGACGTATTTTGTGACTAAAAAGTCACTTTCTAATATTTTTGCACTTATATGACGTTGTTACACCGGATGTGCGAAGTTATGAATGAAATAAAAATATATGTTGTCAATCTAGTGAGCTATGTAATCACACTGATCTGAAATATGCTATACCTATTAGTGATGATATAATTTGTGTTTCACAGACAGCAGACAAAGATTAAACATTAAAAATAAATTAGTTATATTTTGTATTTTTAAATAACAACTTTGATTTGATTCAGAAGCATGTAGTTATGTCCTTGGCGGTCATGGAAACAGTTTTTGTGGTCAATCGGTTTCACGTGAGACTTGAACCAATGACTTGTGGTATACCATACTAACCACTAAACCGTAGGCATATACAGGGTGTCCCGAAATTTGACCGTCATATTTTAACAGCGCAATCTACATCCTAAAATAGGAATAAAAGTTCATATAAACATAGGTCCGAAAACGTTTCGTTTTCGAGATACAGGGTGTTACAAGTGACGTCCTGATGGCACATTTTTGTAAATATTTTCTAAAATTTCTTTAGTCACCGGTTTTCCAAAAAAAAAAAAAATTCTGATTTCACAGGCCTACTAATTATTGTTTACACTTTCGAATAACTTATCATGAAATTTTCAAATGCTTTTTTCTTGAAAATGGCGCGTCCTAGCGAGATGCAACAAAAGTAGCTTTATTATAAAGAAAACATTGGTTTTCCAAATTCTTCAGACCAGGTAGAAGAGAGAGATCTGTTCAGCTTAGAGCCATTCTAAAATTCCTTGGTCAGATAGGAGTAGAAGTGTCCACTGTAGGCGCTGTTACTATTTCCTTGCTGTCTTACCGCCAGAAGAGGACACGAATTTTTTTAGGTAACACTGTAAAACATCCCATATCAACAATTCATACGAGATTTTGAGAAAAAAAATATTTTAGTCCTGGTTTTTAAACTTCAAACGTTGTCTAGTAATTGACGACAGTCAAACAGGAACTTTATCTGACAAAATTTGCAATCAAAAATATGATTCCTTTAATTGGGATACCTAAAAGTAGTTTGGGTGTTCTGTCTATTGACATTAACGTCCCTTTTAACATGCATGCTCTGTACTGACCATCATGGTCAAAATTTGTGTCAGAAGAACTGCATTCCCAATCGGTAGAATTTTCAAATGAATTTTTATAGATCTTTTATTTATATAAGACATTTGAATTTAGCAGTAGCAAACCCTGTAAAATACTACTGTAGGTACCCTAAATAATTTAAAATTAACTTACCTCAAAATGGTCTTCACAACAAAGCCCGATTACATGTATTCGAAAAACTTTATTTTATTGTCTCTCTTCATTGCATTTCACCTCTCTTTCCGTATTTTCTCTTCTTCAAATCAGTAAAAAAATTACCCATAGAAATGCTAAATTGTCATGGCAACAAAATTTCTGGTGTACAAAATATATGTACTGCTTTTAATAATCAGTTTACTGATGTAGACTATCTTCTACCAAATTATAGTGAAGCAAGGCTTCAAGATTTTTCTATAAGCACTCTATTTTTAACTTCAACTACTACAAAGGAAGTAACAGAAATTATACAAAAAAAAACTTGTAAAAAATCTGCCGGTATAGATGGAATAATATTGTCTTTTAAGCTGAAGATATTAGTGTACCTATGTCCTACCTTTTAAACGAATCTTTTTTATGTGATGGCTATCCTAGCATATCAAAAAAATCAAAATCCATTCCTGTATATAAAAATAAAGGGTCTGTAAATGACATGGCAAACTATATGAACATCTGCATTCAAAGTCAACTGGCGCTAAAGTACTCGAAATGGCCTATAATAACAGGTTCATTAAATTTCTATAACATAATAGACTTTTGAGTAAATTTCAACATGGTTTTCGCAGAAATAAGTCAACATCTAGTGCCATAGGGGAATTATGCGATTTTGTTTACACATCTTTATAACAAGGAATTAAATAGTACCTTATACTTCGACCTCTCACGAGCCTTTGACTCAATTAACCATCGACTGCTAGTAGATAAATTGTACCGAATAGGTATAAGAGGCCCGCCAAATAAGTAGATACAGTCATATTTAAACAACCGTGAACAAGTTGTAACCATCAGATGCAGTAAATCAAATAGTCAAATTATGAGAACGGGAGTACCGCAGAGCTCAATATTGGGCCCTGTTTTATTTTTAGTTTTTATTAATGACTTAGCTCTATCTTGTACAAGTCAAAGTACCAAAATTATATATGCAGATGACACAACTTTTGGAACATCAGCAAAAAATGCATCTGAACTTCAATATATTGCTAATAGTGCTGCACATGAATTTTATAGCTATTGTATTTCACATGGCTTAAATGTTAATGTAAAAAAATCTGAAATCATGACCTTTCTACCAAAAAATATAACAAACGACTTCAGCTATCTCGTTAAACTAAATCATTGATACAAACAAATTCGAGCAAATTCTTAGGTCTAATTCTGGACAGCAAGTTAACGTGAGAGAACCATGTATATCATGTATCAATAAACTAAGTAGTGTATGTTTTCTAATAAGACAGTTAAAAAACACTGTAAATCCCGATGTTTTAAAATTAACATATTTTGGTTTGGTTGAATCAATTATGGCATACGGTCTAATTTTTTTGGGACTGCTCAGCTCATCTGGAATGAGAATTCTGTGTACAAAAAAAAGTTATGAGATGCATGGCTGGGACTTCAAAAACAACTTTTTCATGACCTTAAAATCCTGTATATATACTTACTAATACTTAATATAAAAAAACAGGAATCCCAACTATCAGATTATAGACACACATTTATAAAACACGCAATCACAAATATCTACAGTAGTCTTTCTCTAGACTCTCAGTTGGACAGAATTCCGAAATCTACAAAGGTGTTGCATGTTTTAATAGATATACTCAAGTCAATGGTAATGAAAAAATCTTTAATGTATTCAAAAATAAGCTTTATGCATATCTTTCGTCAAAAACATATTATTCCCATGCAGAATTTATAAATGACACTCGTGGTCCGTAATGGTATCTCTTTATTATAATTATTGTCTGTTTTTGCCCTATTGTATACTATTTTTAATTTGTAATTTATTTTAAACTCAGTTGTAGCATGTCTCTACTTTTTAAAATTGTATGTGTTGACAAGGCTAATAGGTCTTATATGTTTATACATTTTTTAACCTTTTTAAAATATTGTAAATATGTATGTCTCAACGCCGAATAAATACTTTATTTGGTGTAATTGTCGTATTTGTACATTTTGCTACAATAATTCAATATTTATACCAGATATTTTGAGCAGACATTTTGAAAAACACAAACAACAGCAAAGGCGTAATAATAATTTACTACATAAAACTAACTCTCCAGCGTACCGGACTCGCTGCTACAAGAAAAACGGGGGGGGGGGGGGGGCTATTTATTCGAACTTTGATAATTAATTGTGAAGTATTATTTACAAATGATGAAAAACCAACTAAAGATGGAAACTGCCCCTTTTTATAAAAAAAATAATGCAAATGTCGTTTTCAATGTTCATTGTGAGGTTAATGTTTTTAGCTATGTTGGTTTCCAACGGTTGTTGAATTTACAAGCAGTTTAAGATTGACTAATTATTTATTTATTGAATAATTGAACAGAACGGATTAAATTCCTAAGAATCAATCTCACACGGTTGCCATATATCAAAACATATTTTACAGTGTAATACCTGAATTTCTTACTTGTTTTTACCTAGTAATTATTCTTGATAGACGAATATTTGCTAGGGTGTTTCTTTTGTCATATATTTTTTACTATTTATATATTATTTTCATACAATTTCCATTCTTTCGAAAGAAATTAAAATAAAAACTCATATTTTTCCAATAGTTTATTAAAAGCACAATTTTTGGCAGGATAAGTCATATTACATAGCATAAATTAAGCATAGGCATAAAATAGATAATAATGCATTTGATATGAATAATCCACATCCCAATAAGTGACTATTTTAATTTTATTAAATTACACTCAATTCACACACTTTTTTATTTATCATCAACACTATTTGTTAAATATATGTAAAAAATTGATTGACTTAAATACATGCTGGACACATAAATAACTAAAAAAAATCGGTTAATTATGACAAGAAAAACAGTTAAAAATACTCCAAAATTTATTGCAGGAAGCACTAAAAATTAATTTAGATTTCGAGCCACACTATACTGATTTTTATCTAAATTACAATAATAAATTTAAATAACCAGATTATTTTTATCATCAATTTGGCCATTTTTCATTATCATCATTACTGCCGGTTTTGGAGATAAATAAATTATATCTTTTTACTAAATTGTTGCTTAAATTTTCACTAATTTACGATTAATTATTATTGGTATGTCTTTATAAATGTATGAAATTGCTTAAGTTAATTATTATAAATATCATTTTACTATATTAGTTTATTTACTGCTAACAAATTTTATTTACAATGGGACAACCTTACTATGATTGAAAACAAAAAAAATAATTCGAAACTATTGCACTTAAGGTGGGTATTTAAATAACGAGACTTCAACATAATTCCCGTTAAACTAATTAAAACGAATTGAATTTAAACCTAAGCGAAGGGCGGGGGGGGGGGGGTTAAAAAAATAAATATATTAAATAAAATTGATCTACAAGCAAAAAAGCAATGAAATACTGATAAAACTTATAAAATTTGTTAGATGTAAATCTTAAAAATTATACATCCCAAACAAGACCCCTTTACCCTTTGTTTTCAACTATTTCAGTGGTTAGCGTCTTGTTTTTGTTGACCTTCGTTCTATACTGCTCCGGTATGGGAATTTCCGTGTAATCTCCGTCGCCCTTGGGTATCAAAACGTTCATTTCCGATGATTTCGAGCTAATAATATCAACATCAAGCGAGTCGCTGCTCAAGTAGATTTGGCAACCATCAGTCTTATCAATTGAAATTGTAGGAACTTTTCCCATCACCTACAAGAAATAATGTATCACAAATAGCCTTCTCAAGCGGGTTGGATGGCTATTAATGACAGGCGTAATGTTGCATATATGCTACACATAAATTGTAGTTAATTACTTCTATTTAGAAATAAAACTAACATAGGATCATCATATTAATTTGTTTAAACCTTAAATTCTTAATGTTACACTTCAATTATAGTTTAATACTTGAATTTTCCATATTTAGTCATAAAACTACATATTAACATGTTTATGCCTTAACTATTTAGGCAAAACACTAACGGATTACATAATTAACTCTTTTAAGCATTAAATGCGTAATGTTGCATATCTGCTATACTTCAATTAGGTATAGTTATCTACTTCTTAAACTTCCCATATTTAGGCATAAAATTAACATATGGACATCATATTTACTCATTTAAACCTTAAATGAGCTATGTTGCAAATATGATACACTTTAATTATCATAGTTAATTACTTCTTAAATTTTCTATATTTAGTCATAAAACCAACATGTAGTTCACATATTCACTCGTTTAAGCCTTAAATATGTGATGTTGCATATATGATATGATTCAATTATAGTTACTTGTTTAACCCTTAAATAGGCAATGTTGCAATCATAGTTTACTATTTCCATTTTTCATATTTAGGAATAAAAATAACATGACATTGTGACCCTCATATTAATTCATTTAAGCCTTAATTGTGTCAAGTTGCATATCTGCTACAATTAATGAATGATTTAGACTATATACCTGAATTTGTTGTTTATATTTTAAAATAAACTTGTTTTTTTTTTTTTTTTTTCTAGAAAAATATTTATCAAAATAAGTATTATAGCAAATTAGCAAATATTAATATAAAAAATGAAGGTTTAGAAAATTGCACAGTTAAAGGTTAATAAAGAAATAATTCAAATAATTGCACAAAAGTTTGTCATCAAACTTAAAAAAAAAAAAAACATTACCTGCATCTGTACTGATTGGCAATTGATGAATTCCATAGATGATACAAGACTATCGAACACAACTGAAGTCTTTTTGCATGAGTCGAGCGTGATCGAATTTATTTTTCCCTTAATTTGAACAGTGGAATTCTCACATTTGTACAAGTACACAACATTGTTCATCTCAGCATCGTCCACCAATAGATTGTGGTTGCCTTTTTGATATTCAATCATCCATTTCTTGCCATCACGGACAAAACTGGGAGGCTTAGCAACCTGTCAAATAGAAAACAAATCCTCAACATAAATCTACAATAACTATTATCATTAGAACCAGCTTTAATCCACCAGTGCCTCATTTATATATGACTTTGGTTTGACTAACAATTCTCAATTCATTTGGTATGCATATTAGGTATGACCCATGTGTAAATTAAAGAGATTCTTATTAATCAACGTACTTGGGCTGGCCTTCCAGACACATTCGATTGGGCGCTAGCCACGAAAGGTGCGGGTCCCTCTCTCAATGTTGGATTTTTGTGTGTCTGCATGTCAGAGGTGACCTTTTTCAAACCCTTGGTTACATCCTGCCCCCTGTTGATTTCTGCAAAAAGTGCAGAACGATCCAAACCTGCATCCCCAGCTCCCCCCATACTAGACAGGTCCAGTACAGGTGGTGGAGGTGGGCAACCTGGTGGTGGGGGTGGTGGCACGCCCTTCGGAGGGGCCCCCTTACCTGAAAACGACCGTTATTCAATATCTAAACATGATTTATATTCAGAGTGTTCTTAAATAGGTATTATGAGATAAGAGAAGAATCCTTATAAGGTTAGAAATTAATCTATTGATCAACTATGCCATTTATAGACATATTTACAAGTTAGTAAAGTCTAAAAAAGACCAGAATCTTTTTTTTTATATACAGGATTAAAATAAAACATATCAACGGTTTGTTTGATATTTTAATTAAAATGGGAAACTGCAGAGGAGCAATTTGTGCAAAAGGAGTACAAGAAATTCAATTAACATCAGAAAGACACCATTTATGGAGTTCAAACAGAAATAATATGGAGTTCAAACAAAAATAATATGGCATTGTGAGACTTCTGGAACTCTAAAAGGCCCTTAAGAGTGAGAAAAATAAAGTATATGTCAAGGAAAATTCTAGTGCAGAATAACAGTGTTAATATCACTTGATCTTTATCAACATAGACTGTTTACCATGTCAAGTGTTAAATGTAAATAAAAATTTATTTTTACAGTATCAAATTTCAAATGCACATATTAGGAGATATTGTCATTCAAAAACAAAATGAAAATTACTGAAATAAATAAAATGTTTGTGATAAGATATTTTTAACTTAATATATTCCAATAGTAACAATCAAATAATGATTTATCATTTATGATTTTTAGATAATTTTTACAAATTTAATTAAACAACTTTCTATTTTCCTCATTTCTTTATACTACCTAGTCAAATCAATAGATTAAAATGATTATGTTCTATAATTAAGTTAAATTGGATTATACCCAAGATCAGACATATAAGAGTTGAAATAATTTAAAAATTTAATGAAAACATGATTTGATTGAGTGTTTTACACTCTTGGATGCATTTCAAGAAAGTGTTGAAAATTAGTATATCTTGGTAAATTTCCAAAAAGATGAAGTAATAGTTAATAAAACAATATGTTTTGATAAGCTGTTTTGATAAGCTGTTTTGATCCTTTTTAATTTCTAATTGAGATTCAAAATATTAATTTTACTGGAATATAAAATAACAAAAAATGTATTATAAATGTAATAAATTTACTGTTAATTGTTCTGCTTGACAAAAGAAAGCAGAAATAAGAAATCCTCTATTTTAATGTTAATTATTCAATTTTAACTGTTAATTGCATGAAAGTTTTATAACAAATTATATATAATCTTTAAAAGAAAGCATGAAATTGCAAATAATAAAAAGCAGAAAATAACACTGTTATAAAATTACAATGTGAAGTATTCAAATTTTCATTGCAAATATTACTCATTCAGAAAAATAGGCACGTATTATTTAAAAATATAAGAGTAAGAAACAATGACATAATAGAAATATACTTCTATTCTAATTATATTGATGACTTCAACAAAGATATATGTAATTATAAGATAAGATTTTTAATTAAACTTAAAAAATGATCTGCCTATATCAACTTAAACTTGAGAGGGTTATAAGCTATCTTATTGCATTTAAATCTGTTGTATAAATATATGTGGGATAACTGGATAAAATAGCTGTCCTTACCTGACCATACCAAACCAGTTGTGTGATACTGTTTTACAAATGCTTGTAATTCACTGAGAGTTTGAATCCATGCCTTAACCCATTCAAAATGCTTCTTATCCTTTTCTTTCCAATCTTTCAGAACTCTGTTTGTGTAAAATTGCCCAGCATCGTTCATTTCTTTCACATAAGGAGACGGAGCAGGGCTGATTGTAACCCATCCTAGGGCTGGTATACTCTCACTTATTGCTGATAAGTGGTTGAAATATTGCGAAGTGCGGTGTTTTTCTCTGTAATCTTGAATTTGACGGATTTTCTCGCTGGTGGGTCCCAATAAATTCATCAAGTCATTATTGGAAGGTTTGGAAGACTCACTGGCCAATTGGACGAACTGGAATTGGGCATTAAAGGCGTCTCTAACCAGGCTCGAGTGTTCCGCTACATCTCCTCCAATTTGGGCGGAAATTTGTAGATATTGAGCTAACGGACCGCTTATAATGTCACTAAACCCCAGTACGCTCATCTTTTCTTAAACTATAAATTATACTATGATACAATATGTTTCTTAGTTACAAAATTTCAAACTTCTAGAATCACTAAAATCTATTTTTATATGATTATTTTTGTTAAAAATATCCGAATTTTACCGACGAGTGAATCAGTGTAGGATGACTAATAAATTACTTTTTTTGAGGATGTTGAGTGTTGACGTTTCAAGCTTGTCTTGCACTTTTGAGGTTAACGGTTGATTCTGTTAGTTTTTTATTTTCTTTACTTTGGCACTTCTTAATTTTGACGTTTTCAAACTACCGTCATCTATGTGCAAATAACTAAAACTCTGGTTCAACTTCAAATAATTTAAGGTGAAGAAAAAATTTTGTGAATTGAAAATGGTACCTAATTAAACATTTTTCATATAATTAATAGTAGAAATATTTATGAAACAGTACATAACTATTTTTCTTTGTTTGAATTATTTAATAAAATCATAAAATAGTTTCCTGTTTTATCTGTCACTGTCACAATTTACATGACAATGACAATTGAGTTGTTTTGTTTTATGTTTCATGAAATTTGTAAGCTTTTTTTGGCTAAGCGAAATAGGTTTTGTTGGGGTGTTGCATGAATTATTAAATTAAATTTTAGTGTTATATTTTCAATTTCCAAAATGGTTAAAAGAAAAAGTACAGCTCTAATAGATAGTGATTCCAGTAACGATTCAGAAAGTGATTTGGATTCGGTAAGAAAAATTCAAATAATGCAACATAACCTAAGTACTAAACATTTTGAATTTTAAAAATGTTTTCAGTTGGCTTTAATTTTTCGAGTCGTCATTTAAATGACGCCTTAATATAAATTTAAATATGAAAGACCGTTTTATAAATGTGTGTATTTGTTATGCAGCAATTATATTTACTGAACATTTTGACTTTTAGGAATTTTTGAATCTTGCTAAAAAGAAAAACAAAAAGAAAAAATCGCCCGGAACTAAGTCTTCAGAATCAGGGTCAGATTCGGAGGATTCTTCGAAAAATGCAAAGAAAAAGGCTAAAACAGATTCTATCACCTCAGATTCTGAGCCTGAGCAGGAGAAGGAACCTAAGAAAGCCGAGCAGGTGGTACAAGAAGAAGATGAAGAAGGCGAAGATGCCGAAGTTGAGGCTGAGAAATCAGAACCTGAAGAAGGTGAGGTTTCAGATTCTTCCAGCTCTGAAGAGGAATTCAACGATGGCTATGATGATCAGTTAATGGGAGATGAAGAGGACAGAGCCAGATTAGCTGCCCTGACTGAGAAAGAGAGGGAAACTGAAATTTTCAAGAGGATAGAACAAAGAGAACTTATGAAAACAAGGTAATTAATAAGTTTCGAGGTAATTTTGTGATTGTTTATAAAAAACTTGCCCTAATTTATTCCATATTATTCCTTTTTTTTTAATTTACTATCCAAACATATTTAGGCTAAGTGTAGGAGTATACAAACTTTGATTAAATGTTTATGTTGTATTTTTAGGTTATACAATTAAAGACACAACTGAATGAAAGGCCTATGTAACAAAAATATACTTTAGATATATTTCAGTTTGGGGGCTTAGCCTCGGGGAGGGGGGAGTTTTGGGGGCCAACTCCTCCCCAGTGGATCATAAATTATAATTAAAAGACACAGTAATTAAAATAATTGCAATCCCATAAAAAATACATGCTAAAATTTACTGTTGAAAGAAGTGGCAATGCAAAAGCCCTGTTAAAAATTTTCTGGCTATGCTACTGTTTTAGTTTAAAGTATCTTATTTGAAGAGTTCACCATAGAACATAGGTCCTTTATCCCCTGCTAACATCTTTATTTGAAAGAACATCAGCAGAATACAGTTAAAATGAATTTTAGTTACACAGGCTCTTCATTTATAAAAAAAAAAAAAAAAATTAAAAATGTACCCAGGAATTTTATGTACTTGTGTCTTCAATTAGGATTTTGTTCAAAGTTCATAATCGTAAAGTATGTAGTTTATTTTCATTTGAAGAATAAATAATAATTTCTCATTAAAATTAAAACATGTCAAAGTTAACTCCTCACATAGCCTTCCATAAGTCCTAATCAGTGTTGTTAAGAATGTGTCATTTAGTCAATATAGAAATTTTAAAACAAAAGCAAATAGAAAAAGAAATGTTTATCTATTTTTTTAAATATGGATCCATAGTTCAATAATTTTTTTTCTAAATGAATTAATAAAAAATTAAATATATATTCTCTATCACAGCATTTTGCACATAAATTAACAACCTTTACCTCATAGAAGTTTCACCTCACTGAGTTTATGTGTAAAATAGTGTAATAGAGCTAAGTTTGCAACACTGATTTCCCAAAATTTGCTAACCAAAAATTTGTAAATCTCGAATCACAAGTATCTGCATTGTCACTGTATACTTTTAGGTTCGAGATAGAGAAGAAATTGAGGCAAGCCAAAAAAGCTGAACGTGCCAAAGACAAATCTTCGAAACCTAAGGAAAAAGATAAAGATAAAGAATTTGTCAGTAAGTTACAGAATGATTTTAGTTCTATTGACCACAAGGAAAGGAGCAAAGAAAGGAAGAAAAACATCGAAGAGAATAGAGGAAAGACGGACAAAAGAGTCAACGCCATGGCGGAGCTGAAGGCGCGGCGAGAGGGAAAACAGAAGAGGGAGGAGGCGGAGGAGGAGAGGAAGAAGCGCGAGGAGGAGAAAAAGAAGGAGGAGGAAGAGCAGATTATGTCGAAGAAGAATGAGAAGAAACTCAAGGCTTCTGATATTTATTCTGATGATTCCGATGATTCTGATGATGAAGGTAATATATTTTTAATATTTTTTCTATAAGTTATACAGAAAAAGTAATTTTAAAAAAAAATATAAAGATCCAAGACCATGAGCTCTGAGCTAATATATTTTATTTAATTTAATTCTTGTTAAAAAGACAAAAGTGTATGGCAATGAAAACATGTCAATGAAAATTTATATAAATAAATATAAAAACATACATCTTAAAAATATCTGATGTGCTAAGTTATCAGATCTATTCAAATTTTGCACTTTTTATCAAATTACTGTATTTAATATTAACAAAAATTATAAACAATGGCTTAACAAAAATGTACCTTAAAGTAGTTTTTTTTTTTTTTTTTTCTATAAATCACCCTGCCCAAATGGTCTGACTATGCCCAAAATCTTATTAGCTCACCGTACGATGGTTTAAAGCTTAAGATTAAAATTTGGTGTTTCTCTTTATCAACTTTTGAGTCATCTTTGGTGCATACACACAGACAGACATCATCGCGAAAATGGTCAAAACGGATTCAGGGATCCCAAAACGTAAAAATCATGATTTGACATTGAGCACTTGGTCCATAGAGACATTCGACTCCAATAAGGTTCGGTAGAAGCCCATCAATACTGGAGGCTTAAGATAATACTGATCACTGTAAGTTTCGAATTATGGCAGCCAGCTACTTCAGGTCTCTGTGTAGTGGCTCTCAATTCTAATTCTAATGGCTGAAGTCAACAAAAATGCTGTTATCCTAAGCTTTACCTTAATACATTTAGACATCCATTACATCAAACTGTAGTTGTTTATGATCCAGCAAACCAAATAAGATGCTGCCTATTGAGATGTCATCATTAAGACTGTTAGATACAAATAAGATTTTCCCATGCCCAAGTCAAATGCCTCCCAGTATGTTATGTTGTTACTGGGTTAAACCACAGTTTTTCCAGATTCAAGTCTCTGGATACATAAATGATTTTTGGTTCTTTTTACAGGAAAATCTTCGCCGACTCCTCAAAGACAAACAACAGCGTCGGTAAGATCGCGATCTCGTTCACGATCGAGATCCGCATCGGGCTCCGGATCTAGATCATCCTCGAGCTCAAGTTCCAGTGACAATGAAGAAGACAAGAAGCAACCGGCCTACGTTCCTTCTAGACAAGATCTGAACCAAATCAGGTTGTCTAGGCACAAGCTCGAGAGGTACGTCTAAATGTAACATTATTTTTCACGTTTTGAAAATGTGTTCAGGTTTTTATATAAAATAATAATTTTCGTTTTGTTGGAATAGGTTTGTTCACATGCCCTTCTTCGATAGGATAGCAAAAGGTTGTTTTGTACGGGTAGGAATAGGCCAGCATAACAATGCACCAGTGTACAGGGTGGCCGAAGTTATAGGCGTTTATGAAACTGCCAAAATTTATATTTTGGGCAAAACGAAAACCAACAAGGTCAGTAAAAATAGTTTTTCTTTTTATTAAAATTGTTATTTTAAGGTAAAATAAGTTGTATACAATAGAAACAGGTGGACAAATTTGTTTAAGGTGTGTAATAAATTAAATCATTAAAATTTATAGGTTTTGATGAAAATTTAATTGTTCTAATCAAATATAATCTAAAAAATAACAGTTTGTTGAATAACGTGAAATGTGACCATAAATCGTTCTACTTTGTATTTACAAATAGTGCTCCAGCTAGTCTAAATTATTGTTTTATAATATTGATCAATGACAGATACCAGGGATAGCTAGTAATTATAGAGAAGATATTATTATTATCAACATCATATTTTTTTGCTGATGATTTGAAGGCACACATTCTCTAGAAAAATATTCCATTCTGCAAATAAGTACTAGAAACTATAATAAATGAAGGTAAAAGATACAGGTTAAAGATACATTTTATAAATACGTTTTAAAGATGCAGGTTAAAAATACAGACTAAAGATATAGTTTAAAGATTTAGATTAAAGATTGTAATAAAATCGCGTTAATTTACAATAATATTTATAATTAAAGTTTAGTTACCTTTTGTAAACATATGAAATTTCGACTAGCTCTTAGATATTTTATACCAAACATTACTTACCTTTAATCTAATCAAATTTTAAATTATTTCAATACCAATTTTAAAATGTTAAATGATACAGATTAAAGATACGGGTTAAAGTTACAGATTAAACATACAGGTTAAAGATACATTTTAAATGTACAGGTTAAAGATAAATTTTAAACATTCAGGTTAGAGATACAGTTAAAGGTACAGACTAAAGATACTAATTAATGATAAAGGTTTAAGATACAAGTTAAAGATACTGGTTAATGGTTACAGGTTAAAGATACAACCTAAAGATAAGGGTTGCAGATACAAGTTAAAGATACAAGCTATAAATACAATTTAACAATACAAGTTGGAGATACAAGATGCAAGTTATAGATACAATTTAAAGATTCAGATTAAAGATACAATTTAAAGATTCAGATTAAAGATACAATTTAAAGATATATGATAAAAATACATTTTAAAGGTACAGGTAAAAGATTCAAAATGTCTGACTATATATTTTGACCAAAAATGCTTTAGCTGTTAAACGAACGAAATAATTTTTAGGGTTTGAAAGTGAGACACGGCAATCAAGAACGGGTATTTAGGTTAGAATTTATATCGAATCAGGAATTCACGGACGGGGAATATTTGAAATGGGTGGAGGCCACGGCAGCGGCGAACAACGACATGCCGACCAAGGGGAAAATCGAGCAAAAACAGGCCGATATCAAGGAAGCCATTAGCTACGAATTCAATGAACAGGACGTAGAAAGGATAGTAAGTATAATATTTATATGTGTACATAGGGATTTGAGATTCTGCGAAAATACTAAATATTACTAATGACCATAGGAATAGACCATTGTTATATGAAAGTAAGCATTTAACAAATTATGATCAACATAATCCACTAAGGGGGGGGGGGGGGGGGGTTGTACAATAGGCAGGTAAAATGTAATCTTAGTTTAAACTGTGAACCTCATTGTATGATCATCGTTTATTGTTAAATATAGTTTTAAAAATGACATTTGTACGTTGAATATAACCAGTTAAATATTAAACTCCTGTTAGCTAAACTGAGTTTACAGCATTCATCGTACAACCTTATAACAAGCTTATAATGTCATGCCCAATTGATATATTTTTCAATTTATTTAGAATTTTCGAAAGAATATTACAAAGTTAGAAGGGTTTCTTGGTGTACTATTTTTATTACTATTATTTTTCTATGTAAACTACTTAAAGTTACTACTGTAATTAAATTATTTTGTATGAAATGAATTTTCTGTTAATAGTTTTTTTTTTTCAAACTGGTATACTAAACCTGTTTTCAGATCCAAGAAAAGTCCCGTTTCAAATCGAACCCGTTCAACTACGCTATGAAAAAGACGCAATTGATGAAAGAGCGAGATTCCGCTTTGAGCAAGGGCGACGAAGAGGTGGCCAGAGATCTGGCTCAAAAATTGTCGGACTTGGAGGAGCGGGCGTCCGAATTGGACAAATTACGTACTTCTACCATTTCCAGTATTTCGTATATCAACGATAGAAATAGAAAAAAGAATGTCGAGGAGGCAGAGAAGGCCATAATGGCCGAAGTTAGGGCAAATAAAGGCAAAAAGGTAAATTATATTTTTCGTTTGTTTTATTCTGTTTGCGACTGAATTATAACTACTTTTTAAGTCACACCAATGTAGTAAAACCCTTTAAAACGTTCAATTCTATTTTTCACCTCCTTAGACACGGAATTTATAACAATCCAATTCATTAAAAATAGAAATTAAACAAAATTAAATGAAAAGATAAATAAATAAAAAATAAAATAAAAATAAAAAATATTTATTTTTATTTATAAAAAATAAATATTAAAAAATAAATAAATAAAAATTAAAAAAATAATTAAAAATTAAACAGAAAATTTAAATAAATAAAAATAACAAATATTAAAAAAATAAATAAAAATAGGTAATTCATAAAAATAGAAATTAAACAAAAATAAATAAAAATAAAATAAAAAATATTTATTTTTATTTATTTATAAAAAATAAATAATAATGAAATAAAAAAAAAAACAAAAATTTAAATAAAAAAACAATAAATAGTTAAAAAAAATTAAAAATAACAAATAATAAAAAATAAATGAAAAGATAACAAGAAAATAAATAAATAATAATGAAATAAAAAACTAAATAAAAATGAATAATTTATTAAAAATAGAAATTAAACAAAAATAAATAAAAAATAAATGAAAAGATAAATGTAAAAGAAAGTAAATAAAAATAAAAAAAAATATTCATTTTTATTTTTTATTTAGTCTTTATTTTTTATTTATTTATTTTTTATAAATAAATAAAAATGATTTTTTTTAATTTTTTTTTATTTTATTTTTATTCATTTTTATTTACTTTCTTTTACATTTATCTTTTCATTTTTTTTTTTTAACTATTTGTAATTATTTTTATTTATTTTCTTTTACACTTGTCTTTTCATTTATTTTTGTTTAATTTTATTTATTTTTTATTATGTTTTATTTTTAATGATTTACCTAAATTTATTTTTTTTTTTTAATATTTGTTATTATTTTTTTTTTGTTTATTTTTTAATTATTTTTTTATTTGTTTTTATTTATTTATTTTCTTATACATTTATCTTTTCATTTATTTTTTTATTATTTGTTATTTTTAATTTTTTTAACTATTAATTCTTTTTTTGTTTATTTTTTAAATTTTTTTTATTTCTTTATTATTTATTTTTTAATATTTATTTTTTTATAAATAAAAATAAATATTTTTTATTTTTATTTTATTTTTATTTATCTTTTCATTTATTTTTGTTTAATTTCTATTTTTAATGAATTGCCTATTTTTATTTAATTTTCTTTAACTATTTGTAATTATTTTTATTTGTTTATTTTTGTTTAATTTTATTTATTTTTTATTATGTTTTATTTTATTTTTTTAACTAAGTATTTGTTATTATTTTTATTTATTTAAATTTTTTGTTTATTTTTTAATTATTTTTATTTATTTTCTTTTACTTTTATATTTTTATTTATTTATTTTTGTTTAATTTTATTTATATATTTATTTTTATTTTCATTATTTTTTTAATATTTTTATTTAGTTCTATTTTATTTGTTTTTATTTTTATTTATTTAATGGAACTTCAAGTGGGGATCAAACTGTTGCGATGTCGTTTTTATTCGTTCACTCCTCATATTTTTCATGTCAGTCAGGCTAATAAGTTTACTTCAAAATTTACCATATAAATTCGTATAATTAATTGAAAATTTCTAAATTAAAAAAAAAAACAAAAAAAAATTATTTTTCTTAAAAGATATTTATAATTTTCTGAGTAAATAATAAAAAGAAACACAAAATCATTGAATTTTCAGCTCGCTATGATTTTTCCAAGTCATATAAATCTCTTAATTTCTAACCACCCTAACTCTGTCAGTTTTCTTCCATAGCTTTGACACCATTTTCTCAACTTTTTTGATTAAGAAATGAGGTACATTGCATGACATGTAATTTCATTTCCTTATCTGATAACACAAAGTAATTTCGTTTCCTTGTCTTATAGCACAAAGTAGTCATTCCCTAACTATCCTAATAAAAATCATGTTTGCAATATCACACATAATTTTTATGAACTAATTTTATTCAGATATGAATTTTATTTTTATATATTTTATTATAATTATGTATATCTGATTTTGTCTTGTTTTTTTTTAATTCAACTTAATATTGTCAGATTTTACAGAAATTATTTTTAAACCTAATGACACTTTCTAAGCCAATTTAAATTTGTTAACTGGATTATAATTGAAATTACGTTTTTTTTTTTTTTTTTTTTTTTTTTTTTCAATTATTGACTGTACCATACAAATGTTTCCTCTAAAACAAACGTCACTGTCAATTTGGTAAAATCAGTGTTAAAATTTAGCCACTTTATAATAAACCCAACTGTGTTCTGTTGTATGTTTATTTAAATTTATTGTGTCCATTTTAATTTTGAACTACTTTCTTATCTTTTAGATCGAAGATCCGTTCACTAGACGCTCGACGAAGCCGAGGATGAACTTCAAGTCGGGTGAGAAGGAAGCGCGTGAACAGCTGGAGGCCGAAATGGCTATAAAATCCGGTGTGGTAAAGAAACCAGAAAATCTACCCGTCCAAGAAAGCAAAAAGGCTGCCCAACCGACTCAGGTCACTCAAGACGATCTGTTTTCTGCTCACGACTTTGATATTAAAATTGATCTCGAAGTTCCTCTAGCCGGTAAGTCGAATCGAACTGTCGGTAAATATTGGGAAATCTTTTTTAGGACAGTACTTCAAATATACCACTAAAAACGGAGTAAATTAGCATTTATTACATATATAATTTTTAATTACATTGAGGGCTGGAGGGAAAAAAGTTCCATTATTTTTAGAATTATAACTGTCACTTTCTTAACAAATGCGCGGTGTTGCGAAGTATTCAATCCTAATCAGTGATGAAAAAAATATGTAACAAAAAAGAACTACTTTATTAATTTATTTTGTACTTTTTAATATCCAGTCGCATCCAGCAATCAATTTATACATTTTAAATATTAATATTTCATCATCTATAAAGTAATAAAAAATATACTTTTTAAAAATTAAATTTAATTACTGTGTTATCCAAAAAAATTTAAACTTTTTTAAGACACGCATTTTTATTTATCTGACAAATTCAACAACCATCAACTAATTATACTGAATTACCATTGGTTTTTGTGGTTTCCAGTTTTTTTTTTTGCATTTCAGTTATAAACAATAAGTTTTTTTTTTCAGCAACTCCTGTAAATGTGGTTCCTAAGACAGTTACAAAAGATTTGGCTCCGAAAAGAAGCCTCAACCTCCAGGACTACAAAAAAAAGCGAGGGCTCATATAGTATTTATGTTCCCCCCGACATTTCTCGTTTTGGAAACGTAAACGTAAATTTTAGGATAGAGACAGATGCAAAAAATGGTATTGAATATTTTTCTTAGGAGGTGTACTTTTAAATATTTATTTAATTTTGTATCAAACCATTTTTGTTCTGCTTTAAGAGTGATAAGTATTGTACATAGTAGTATATAAATGTGACATATGTGTCTTAATGTAAACGTTATAGTAATAAAATCAATTTTTTAATAAGTGCTTCTTTCTATGTGTTTTTAATTTTCTGTAATTCTCATTGGAGACATAGTATTATTGTAAAAATGTAAGTAAAGAGTAAAAACAAACTGTTTAAATAGTTGTTACAAGTGAAAAGAACGATTGTAAAGATATCTCTTAAAAGGGACATATCCGGAAGCAATAACTTATTAAAATCACACAAAGGTATGCAGAGGTAGGTGCGCCATCTAATATTATTTAATATAGCGGCTCTACTTGTGGATTCTATTATTGTTAAAAGAAACAAAAACATGTATTTAACTTTTTTGTCTACTATATAGAGGCAAGAGGTTTGCTGTCACTTCCAATGTTGCCAACAGGTGGTAAATGGCATACAACTCTACTGGTTGAAAATCGCCAGAAATCACCACATAGGAAAAAAAGATTAATGAAGCGAGAAAATGGCCTGAATTTTTTTGAAAATCTGACTACGTGTATAACTGCAGAAATAATTTTGATAAAGAAAAGTTTTACTATTTTTTTAATTATAATAAAGTAAGGTAGAAAATATAGGGATACAACTTGCTGTTCAAAAAATATACTATGTATATTTATTTAATATAATTGGATATTTTTATGTCAAAAACAAACACACAAATCTAAACTAAAACAATTTTTATTCCTGGTAAGTCTTTGACAAAAACGGATACATTGAAAACAAACTCTTAGATAGTATTATATATATGTCGCCAGAAATTTAAAGTCGGTCACAACAGACCCAAAATCGCTAGTCTAGCTACTATAAAAGGGTGAGATTACAGAACGTCTGCAACTTTGCAGATCTGCAAATATGGCGGACTTACATATGCATGTATCAAGTTTTCGTATTCCAAAAAAAATCTGCAAATTCGCAATATTTATTGTGGTTTATTACCCCCAACAACACTAAACCCAAATCCATTACTATGTTTAAAAACTCGATAATCTGACACCGTAAACTGTATTCAATCAAAAGAAACGGAAGACTTCATGGTTGTAGGATGTTCTAACCTTCTTAAGGGTGGGTTTGGATTTAGTGTTGTTAGGGGTAATAAATATTGCGAATTTGCAGATATTTTTTGGATACTTGCATCTGTAATTGCAGATCTGCAAAGTTGCCGCCATATTTGCAGATCTGCAAAGTTGCAGACGTTCTGTAATCTCACCCTAAATCGCTTAGTTCACTTTGCTTCCAAATTCTCAATTATTAAGCTTTATCGAAGTAAATACAAAATAATAAATTATCGTGGATGAAATTGTATAAATAAAGAAGGGGACGAGGCAATCCACATTACCAAAAGCAATTCTAAAAAAGTTTTTGGAGGTATGTATGTATAATGTTCCACTAACTTTCTTTCGTTCAAAGTGTTATGGATATGAAATCACGAGTTAATTAATAGCTATTTACGCAATTAGTTACAAAATGGCTTATTTTAAGTAACGAGTGAATATTTGCAGACGAGTAGAGCGAGATTATTGATAAAATTGTGTTTTGGTAAAACATTACTGACATCTAGGCAACCAATATTACTTAGTATCTTGTATTGTTAGTTGCATATCTGTAACTTCATTCATTTCATTGACAAATAGAAAATACATTAATTTATTCTCAACGACTTATAATGTGTATTGCTATTAAATTTAGTTTTCTTAGCCAAATTCTATTTTAATATGTCAACCTGCCTTTCTTTGATATAAACTTTCAAAGGTTTATTTTTATTTGTTTTCATTTCGCAACTGCGGTGATAATAAATTTTCGTATTCACTTTCATAAATGTTCAACATTATGCAACTGGTTTCGTAAAGTAGATAATTTTGACACTTGCTACGAAAATGGCACTTTATATATCAAAATTAAAAAAAAAAACACTTTAATAGTGTGCGTTTTAAAACTTCAATGAAAAAATAATTGAAAAATATTTCATTCTTTTCAGAATTTTCCTAATGAATATTTTATTTAGTTATACAAAAACAAGAATTTTAGAATTAAAAACTTTTTAATTTGAATAAATTGTAATTAATAAAAATTCTAAAGTAGGTCATCGAGAAAATCGCACACAATTCTTCTTTGTTAAATGTAAAAGTGAATTATTTCAGAGGCATTTTGCAGTTATCTCGGATATGATTCATAGTTTTCTTATGGTCTATTTTTTGACGAAAAACGTTATTTAGAAATATTAAAAATGCATTTGTCTCGATTTTTATTATTGTTTTACTTTCCAGCTCTTATATTGTAATGTATTTTATCCGTTGGGAATGAATATCTCTAAGAACTTGAATTCAATAAAAAAATATACTGTAATTGATCTTAAAATATATGGGATCAGACTACATGACATTTCATGCTGAAATATATGCAATTACCCAGACAGCACACCAAATCCTTTGGATATCTACTGGACATCCCAATATTCACTGAATGTCCAGTCCATGGTGGATATCTATTTCAAATCCATGAGATGTAATTTATAGACATGCAAATGTCCATAAATAATAGTAATTATATAGCAAATTATTAAAAAATTACGCCATTATGCTCGCCATTGTGGCTAATAGTACCGTTCAGATATTTAAAATTAATTTTTTTAAGGTGTATTCAATATCCCATGGACATCCACTAAATATATCAAAGTCTAGGCGCGAACGCAAATCATCGTGGATATCCACTAGATGTAATTTTTGATTTTGCTTACTAAGTATACCCAGACAACACACCAAATCCCAGAGATATCCACAGAATATCTTTGGATATCCAATATATATCCAAGGGATATCAGAAATATTCCGTGGATCTAATATGGATATCCAAATGTCCGTCTATATCCAGAATATAGAAGATATCATATGGATATCCAGCAAAATATCTAATGAGTATCTTCCAGACAATACAAGAAATCCCAGATAATATATCCACAGAATATATTCTGTGGATATCCAACCAAATGTCCGTCTATATCCCAGGATATAGAAGAATTCGGATATTCAGCAAAATATTTTATAGGTATCTTTAGTAGAGGACTCAAAATATTTTCAACACTCTGCCTTTGATTTTGCCCACTAAGGAGAAAGTTATCCTTATTAGGAATCTTCAGCAATAAATGGATATTCTCAACTCCAGTCTCTAATGGACTCTGATTGTGAAAACATTTTCGATCGAACTCAATTACGGCGGGTTGAGCATGAGTAGATGCGAAAGTAGTATCGCCATCTATACTTAGTAAGCAAAATCAAAAATTACATCTAGTGGATATCCACGATGGTTTGCGTTCGCGCCTAGACTTTGATATATTTAGTGGATGTCCATGGGATATTGAATACTCCTTAAAAAAATTTATTTTAAATATCTGAACGGTACTATTAGCCACAATGACGAGCACAATGGCGTAATTTTTTAATAATTTGCTATATAATTACTATTATTTACGGACATTTGCATGTCTATAAATTACAGCTCATGGATATAAAATAGATATCCACCATGGACTGGACATTCAGTGGATATTGGGATGTTCAGTAGATATCCAAAGGATTTGGTGTGCTGTCTGGGTAGATGGCGATACCACTTATTCGCATCTACTCATGCTCAACCCGCCGTAATTGAGTTCGATCGAAATTTGTATCACAATCGAGACTCCATTAGAGACTGGACTAAAGTCGAGAATTTCCATTTATTGCTGAAGAGTCCTAATAAGGATGACTTTCTCCTTAGTGGGCAAAATCAAAGGCAGGCAGAGTGTTGAAAATATTATTTATCTCTGCTATTTTCTTTCGACGTTATTAAATAATCATTGGTTACTTATGAACCTCTACTAAACATACCCATAAAATATTTTGCTGAATATCCGAATATCTTCTATATCCTGGGATATAGACGAACATATTTGGTTGGATATAATGGATATCCATATTGGATATATTAGATATCCACAAAATATATTCTGTGGATATCTCTGGGATTTCTTGTATTGTCTGGAAGATACCCATTAGATATTTTGCTGGATATCCATAGGATATCTTCTACATTCTGGATATAGATGACGGACATTTGGATATCCATATTAGATCCACGGAATATTTCTGATATCCTTTGATATATTGGATATCCACAAAAGATCTTCTGTGGATATCTCTGGGATTTGGTGTGTTGTCTGGGTATATATATTGATCCGAAAATAAAATAAATACCTAATACACTAATTTTGTATCATTAAACGAATCTTTGAGAGATAAACAGAATAATTCATACCTTTACTATCAAATAATGCTCACAATATATATTGTGATAACGCTTTCCTTTTTAACCGACTTTAAAAAAGGAGGAGGTTATCAATTCGTCGCGATATTTTTTTTTTATGTATGTTCAGCCATTATTCTTTAACACGGTGTCCGATTTCAATGATTCTTTTTTTGTTAGAAAGGGGGTATTTCAGAGGTGGTCCCTTATAAATTTAGTCAAAATCTAATAATTGGGTCCATGAGAAAATCCTCAAACTCTTCATTTTTTATGTATGTTCAGCGATAATTTTTTAACACGGTGTCCGATTTCAATAATTCTTTTTTTGTTAGAAAGGGGCTACTGTAGGGGTGGTCCCATATAAATTTTGTCAAAATCTAATAATTGGATCCATGAGAAAATCCTCAAACTCTTAATTTTTTTATGTATGTTTAGCGATGATATTGCTTTACCACCTTGTCCGATTTATACGATTCTTTTTTTGTTAGTAAGGGGGTACCTCAGGGGTGGTCCCATATAAATTTGGTTAAGATGTGGCATCTGCACGTTTTTGAAGTCGGTTTTTTTAAATTTTTAATTTGTAATACTTGTTAATCACATATAGGTAAATTTTGTTACCGCAGTGAACGTGTTAAGACAGAAAACGTCAGATTAGCCGAGTTTAGCTAATGCCACCTTTACCAACCTTAAAAAAAATTCGATTTTCAAAATAGGTATCTTTCATTCGTTGTTTTTAAGATAAGGCAAAACTAAATTATGTATCATAAACATATCATTACGTTATACCTATTAGGGAACGTTCAGTGTCTTTGAACCCATATAATTATTTTAATGAGTCATGGAATTTATAATACGTTTATTAAAATTTAACTGTCATTTTATCCTTAATAAGAATACTTCCTTATATGGCAAATTGCAAACGTGTAGGTATAAACAGATAATGATAATATGTTAGGTAGAAAGGAAAGTTAAGCAAAATAAACAAGACATTCGTATTCAAATCTAAGTTGACAGAATAATGTAAATTTCCGCAATCGTAACCAAAGTTAGAAGTTTTCGTCGCTTTCGAAAGAAATCGATGAATTTGGAGGGCGGGGCGCCAACTTTAACCAGCCTCAGCCATTTTGCCACGACTCCTCACTTTACCTTTTATGGGCATTTAAGCGAATCCTGCTTCTACATTGGCTGAAAATCGCGAGATACTCTCAAGTCCCCCAATTATTAGTTTTTCCGTTTCCAAAGCGACCGATAAGATTATTCAAATGTCAACGATAAGTATACATAAAATATTTTGTCAATAAATCGCAAAGCAAGTCGCCTTTGAGCCACAAAATAGAAATTAATGTTTAAAAATCTTTGAAAATTCGAAAAAGTTGGTGAATTTAAAACTCGCGCAATTCGTACGCATCGAAAACTAATTCTAATTTTGCATGTAAATATAATCTGAAAGTTGAAGTGAATTTAGTGACATTATATGTAAAAACTTTATATTTGATATATTTTAAAAAGTGAGTTTCATTTTTGAAATTAATATAATTTTTTTGAAAAAATAAAAGTGGAATTACGTCTGGCGTAGTAAAGTTGCGCTGACGCACGCGCATTTCCAGCTGCCGGCAGGACAACGTCCCCAACAGACCTCCAAGAGAGAACAGTCGTTTTTATTCAGTGAATCTGGGTGTTTAGTAGTTTAAATTGTACAGTTTTCGTATTAGAAAAAATGGTAAGTTATTTTGGAATTTATCGAGTGCGAGATTGACAATAATAACTGGAATTTTTGTTTTTTTGCGAACGGATCGGCGAAAATATTCTCCCGTAAGCCGGGCGGCCATATTTTATAGATTGGCATTAATCTAGCCAAAATAGGATAGATGAATCTGACCAAATCACTTTCTGCATTTGTAAAACTAACAGTGTTGATTATTAATTGCCGTAAATAATTGAGGATGTTCTGTGTATTCTTTAACATTTTTGAAACCTCGCCCTTTACCTTTATGGCATGATTGTTTTCTTTGATGAAAAATCGTTTTTAGCTCCAGAATGATAGATACCTGCGGTTATGAATCATTCTTCTGGTAGCTTCAAGGTTAGCTCATTAAAGAAAACTAGTGAGTGATTTTTTTTCTTTAAATCGAACGTTGTATTTTGATTTAATGACTCATGCATTTATATGGACTGACATCCGATATCTTTGATACCTATTTTTTTTATCTAGGATCAGTCTGCTATCATATTATAGAAAGTGATAATTTTAATTCCTCCAAATAGGCTTATCCGGCTGTTTATAATATGATTTAGAGTTAAAAATACCAACGTGTATATTATTTTATTTTTAGTTTGAGTTTATAATAACAAAAATAGGTGTAGGTAGATATTATGACTCCATATGTGGCGAAATCTGTTTTATTTTTGACAAAATTTTAAATAAACTGATTCCTCGCAGCTGTTGGGTCTTCATAACCCGCCTATTTGAAAATAGATAGTTATGTAAAAAATTGATTTATTTGTGAATAAGAAAAATTATACACGTGTATGTATATAAATATCAATTTTCTGTAACTCAAATTGCATGTAAAATAGGAAACAAGGATTTTTTGTTAGTAACCAATTTTAAGTTAAACAGAATCTTAACATATGTATTCTTAAATTGGTTACATTTGAGAATAGGAATATATTTCCTTTTTCCATCCAAAAATTTAGTTTAAAAAACAACCTTTGTCTTATTCTCAATAATATTAATTCAATTTTTTGCAGTTCTTTGTGACTTGTACACTTTTACTAACTTCCTGTGTATGAACAGGATGTCATGAAGATAGCTAATTGAATTCCCTAACCGTTATCTTCAGAATAATTTTGAAACAAATTGGAATTAGTCATGATTAAATCATTAATTCTGCCTTCGCATATTATGCTTATGAAGATTTTTTTTTGGCTTTATAAAAATGTCACTTAAGATATCAAAATCGTGTTGTTTTGGGTCGTTTTGTGTATTTATACAGACAACAATCAACTTGACAAGCATAGGTTGATCTACATAATTATATTTTCCATTGCCTTTGTATTTGATTCCCTAAATATTTGTAATAATTCTGCTTCATATATTTTTATTCTTACACTATAATTTATTCATGTTTCCCACAAACATATCTTTATTAGTTTGTTTTATTTCTATTATAGTTGCTAAAGCTTATTTCCATGCCTATTTGTCAAACATGAACTGAGATTTTCGCTTTGATTTTTGCAGGCATCAGGTGTAACAGTAGCAGATGCATGCAAAAAAATCCATGAAGAAATCAAAAGGGACAAAAAACACCGGTACGCCATTTTCTATATCAAAGACGGTAAACAAATTGATGTGGAGCTCATAGGTGCTAGAAATGAAGAATATGAGGATTTCCTAACCAACCTGCAAGCAGGAGGAGCAGGTGAATGTCGCTATGGGCTCTTTGACTTTGAATATATGCACCAGTGCCAGGGTACTTCTGAGTCCTCCAAGAAACAAAAATTGTTCCTCATTTCGTGGTGTCCAGACACAGCATCAGTCAAAAAGAAGATGGTATACGCTAGGTGAGTTTTTACATTTTTAACTTCAAATCAAAAGTGTTTGTGAGACTGAGTGCATGAATCCTGAATTCATTAAAAAGCTATTTTTACTGTTTTCTCACTTGAACATGTTAAATGTAAACTGTAGAACAAAAGAAATGGAAAAAAGATAATATGTTGGGTACTGGGCCCTGTACACAATTACCCTCGTTATACCATGTAATAACCATAAAAAATGTCATTAAAATCTCATAAGAATCATTTTTGTTTAATCTCAGTTTAACAAGTTTTTATTTATATTAAAAATGTGTTTAAATGTATAATAAATTAATTTAATATATTTTTTTCTTTTGTGTTTGGATATGTTTGAACAAAATATGTGCTGGATATTATTCCGAGACTTTGAGTCATTGCTGTGTGGAATCTCCAATGAGTGAAGCAATTTATTTGATTTTATTTGTTAATTACTGATCATAAATTTTAGGTTTATTTATTTAATGATTAATTTATAATCACCAATAAAACAAACCTTATCTTTGATGCAAAGCTATTAATGCTTTTTATCAATAATCTGGGCAATAAAATTGTCAGGATTATTTCACTAAAATACAAATACCTACTTGTTTGAGGGAAAGTAAATATTTTTGGTGATATGGATTTTAAAATAAAATAAATACATGTTTAATTGAATTTTTATTTGTAAGTAATGTTGTTTTGGAGGACTTGGCAGTTCAAACGTTCTATAGTTGTTTTTCAGTGGATTTTTAGTAAGTTCACTGTTTTAAAATGTGTTTTGGACACTTTCCAAAGTGTTTTTATGATTTAGCAATCTTGAAATAAAAAAATAAGTTACAACTCATTATTTTAACCATTTAATGAATTAAGTACTTTTAAATTTGATATTTATTAATTTTTTGACTGTGGAATGAGATAAATGCCGTTAGGAAGTCATATAGGGCGTTTAAAAAATATATACCATACATTTGAGGACACACATCTTGAGTAATTAAGAGAAGTTAAAAATATATTTGTCTATTCATTCCTTTCCATTCTACAGGGCGTTATATAAATATAGGACACAGTGATTTAAATTTTTATTGCAATACAAGGTATACAGGGTGTCCCGAAATTAGACGGTCATATTTTAACTGCGTAATGTACATCCTAAAATAGAAGTAAAAGTTAATATAAACATAGGTCCAATATAAACATAGGTCCGAAAACGTTTCGTTTCCGAGATACAGGGTGTTAAAAGTGAAGTCCTGATCACACATTTTTGTAAATATTTTCTAAAATGTCTTTAGTCACCGGTTTTGCAAAGCTGAAAAAAAAATAAAATTTTTGATTCCACAGGCCTACTATATTCGCACTTTCAAATAATATAATATAAACTTAGTATAAAATTTTCAAACGCTTTTCTCTTGATAATGGTGCATCCTAGCAAGATGCAACAAAAATAGCTTTATTCTAAAGAAAACATTGGTTTTCCAAATTTTGTAATAAAAAATGTTAAAAACTGTCAACAAAAATTAAGGCTATTTTACCCCCCCCCCCCCTAATTTTCCGACCTATGAAGATGATCAAAAACTGGGACCTAGTCCATTATATAGAGCGTAAAAAGTTTAGCATTTGTACTAAATTTCATTTAGTTATCTTAAAACGTTTAGAAAATATTTACAAAAATGTGTCATCATGTTTTAACCCCCTGTATCTCCAAAACCAAAAGATTTTGGACCTATTTTTATATGAACTTTTACTCCTATCTCCCTATATAGATCACAATTTTCATTGTGGAGAACCATTTTCTGTATACCCCCTGCATAGTAAGTAAGGTGCCATGGTAGAAATTCTGACAATTTCAGCTGCAAGAGCATTTATCTCTAGGTGCAAGATCAGGGCTGTAAGGGGGGGGGGGGGTCAAACATATCTCACACCCATACCTTGTGACAGGAGTTATCATTTAAGCATAGTAGTATGCTGTTCTGATTGATGGATGTATGCATGTTTTCCATTTTACTTGATAAGTGCAGTTAATACTGTCATCTCGCTATTGTCAGTTTAGTTTTGAAGTTGCGTATATATTTCATTTCTTTTTTTTTCTGTTACAGTTCATTCGAATATCTTAAAAAAGCCTTGGTAGGAGTACAAAAGTCCATCCAGGCGACGGACCTGTCGGAAGCCAGTATAGAAGCAGTAGAGGAAAAACTGCGATCCACCGATCGTCAGTAGCGCCTCTTTTTTTATTTCTTTTTTTTTTGTATCTATTTTCGACTGTCTACTCAACGCACCGACCTACCTAGGTGTATTATTTATATAAGTATTTGAATATTTAATAAAGCTTCATTTATAAATTAATGTGTTTTTGAGTTTCATTTCCCAGTTGGTGGAGAAATGAACAATAATTTATGAACATACTCTTCATTGTGGTATGAATTTGTGTATGTAGCGAACAAACAAAAAATCTTGGATAATTTATATGGTATCAAATCATTAATGTAAGAAGGAAAATCGATATATTTTGTAAATAATTGAAGCTTTTCCTCAATAGTGACATCTATTAAAATAATTCATTGTTTTTATGCATACAAAAAAATAAATATCCACTAAAACGTCCAAAGGCTGAATCTTGGGATATAACATGTATTTAAACCATGTTGGAACTATAACAATTATTATGGATCATTATGACAATACTATGGAATATCATTACAATTTTAATATAATTTTGGTCTTTTATTGAGTGTAAATAATAGAAATTTTAATCTAATACTTAAATTTATTTTTTAATTATTTACAAATCTTTTCTAACTCCAAAACCAGGTCCTGGTGGAGGGTCTATCAGTGAAGTTGGTTCTCCTAATGGTTCTGCTGCAAATCTCCCACTCCTAAATAAACAAAATAGTTTTTACAAATAAAAATAAATGATATGAAAAAAGTGTTTTTACCTTGGGCCAGGATTCGGTTTTTCTCCAGCTTTACAAGCATCAAGTATTTCATTGGTTGACTGAACTGTTAAGTCTTCCTACAATTTAAAATATGCTTATTAACTTTTAATTAGAACATCAATTAAATTTTGTTTGTAAATAACCAAATTCTGATGGAAACTTACATAATAATCATCATTGATCTGTATCATAGGGGCATTGACACAGGCTCCCAAGCATTCTACTTCGGATAAGGTAAACATTTTGTCTTTGCTAGTTTCACCAACATCAATATTCAAATTTGACTTGATGGCATCTAAAATTTCATCTGAACCTCGCAGCCAACAAGGGGTAGTAGTACAGATTTGAACGTGGTATTTACCAGTAGGTTTTCTATTATATTATTCAAATTAATTAGCAGTATTCTTAAAAAATAATACTTTACTAACCTCATAAACATTGTATAAAAAGTAGCAACTTCATAAACCCTCATATTAGGCAGCTTTAAAATTTCTGCAACCTTGTGCATAGCTGAAATTGGTAACCATCCATATTGTCTTTGAGCTAAGTCTAAAAGTGGAATCATTGCTGCTCTTTTATGCCCATCTGGATATATTGCTAATATGGCATCTACTCGCTAAAAACATTTTGTAATAGATAATTAGGAATAATACATATACCTTAATCACCTTCTTATTTTCAGGGGTGAACTCAAACTTAACATCCGGGTTATCCTCAGGACTATCCCTATGTACGAACAAACTATCATGTTGTAAAGTAGTACTAGTTTGTAGAGATCTTTTACCCAAAGATTTGCCCTAAAAGAATTGAGGTTATGTTAAGAATTACATAAGACGGAAATACAAATAAATATACAAGTAGAAATAAAAATATATTTTTTGAACTTTACCACATTCGAGCATATTTCCGAGAAAACTTTTAACATTTTTAATATTAAATTATTTAATTTTTTGTAAAAAAGACAGTAAACAGATGACCTGTCAAAGTCAAATAATTTTACTTGTCTTTTTTTCATGTGGTATAAACTGTTTAATTATTTGGTTAGGAGGACCGTGCGTAGTTGCATGTACAAGTTTTTTTTTTACTACAAATCAGAAGAAGAATTTAACTGATTTTTAAATAGTAAAGGACCAGTGTGCAAATGCTTAATAAAAGAAGATTTATTGCTTAATACACAAAAGGTATAAGGCTCAAAATTGAAGATTATCTTTTTTATTACTATTTATTTATTTAGTTTCTGGTTTCTGGTAGCTTGTCATTTTATTAATTAAAATGATATGATACTTTTTTGTTTCAATTTATATAAAAAAATTATGAAATAAAAATACTGCTTATTTTGGAGTTTGTGATAAGAAATAAATTAAAAAAAGTGACAGGTAAAACGTGACACGGTTGACGGAGGACGGATGATCGACATATGACAGATTGTCATTTATTGGCGGGCTATAAGTTGTTTTTCTGTATTTTTCCAATATTCTAGCGGCACCCGCAAATACAAATAAGACAAGTTCTTGTTTCGCATTAATTTTGCTACAAATAATTTTGGTTAACTGTTGAATCGCATTACTTAATTAAAATGCGCTGTCCGAAAGACTATAATATGTCAGAAGGGGCTTTGCAGGTAAATTTTCAACAATTATTGGCATGGTTTAGATACTTTAGTTAGAATAGAAAAACATATACCTAGAGAATAAAAATTTAGTACATAATGGTTACTAATATAGAATTAACTCTTTGGCACCGGGAGTTTTTATTGGCAAATGGCCTCACAAACGGGGACTTTTAGTGCCTATACTTTCGTGCGTCTCTGGTTTACGTGTGCTTTACTGCCTTTCCGAGTGTTTGAATGTAAGGTTCGTCATTCGATTCTAACATGAGTCAATTTCTAATCCAATTTACATTTAGAAAATTTTGTTGGGAGTTTGTTCCCGAAACAACTGAATAAAAAACTTTCTGCCTTACCGTTGCTTTCTTCCACAGACGACCTAGTTGATCATCTTATACACATTTGTGTGCTTGTCCTTTCTAAGTTATGCTTTCAACGTTTGAAAAATGCACCTCTCTTAAGTGAATTAAAATTGGAAATGTAACTGTACAAAAATATAAGAACTAATTTCAAATATTTATTTGGCAGGTTACGTTTTAATTTTTACTTTGTAATTTGTTGGGCTATTATTTATATTACTTTCAGGTGATCATGTCTGGGGGTGACTATCCCAACCCCATAATGCAGATTCTGGGAAGTAAAAGAATCAATGCTGGTGGAGACAAAGAAAAGATCAGAATATTGCTCTCTGATGGAAAACACACTATTTCTTTTGCTATGTTAACAACCCAATTAAATGATAAAGTAGGACCTAATGGAGTTCAGACTTTCAGTGTCATCAAAATTGATAAATATATAACTAGTATTATTAACAATTCTGGCAAGGGTGATGCGTAAGTTACAAATGTTGATTAAAAATAACTGACTAAAATTTGTATTTATTTTTAACAGACGTGTTCTATTAATTCTCGAGATGAGTGTTATTGTTGATGGGACTGAGATAGCTGAAAAAATAGGTACTCCAGTCCCCTTGAATGAAGCTGAAACGGCAAAACAAAATGGAAGTGCTAGTAGTAATAAACCATCTTCTTCACACAATACTAATGGAACTTCATCGAATTCATCATTATTTAAGCCAAAAGTTAGCTCTATGGACACTAGTGAAAACTTGGCTGGTCATATGACCCATCCTATATCTAGTCTCACTCCATATCAAAACAAGTAAGTTTGGTAACATCTGGGTGTTAATTTTTTCCATTCAACCTTATGCCTTATTCATGTATGGAATTATGAAATTATTTATGTATTATCCAGAGTTATTTGACTTATGTAAACCAAGAGGTGAAACACATGATAAGAATGTATTTAACAGTTGTTAATTTGCTCAACAAACTATTGTTATCATTTTTTCATTCTGAGGTTATTAAAAATAATAGGTATTATAGCTGTTACAATTATTTTAGTATAATTTTTAATGTACAGAGCTTTGCTTTTCTAATTTTCTATTCTCGTTTTGCTAACAGCACTTGCTAATCAGGGAGGCACGTCCTCTTCCCCCCCCCCCCCCCCTAATCATGGCTCATCAAATATTGCTTTAAAAATGTATATACCCACCATATTTGTATCTGGTGACATCAGTAATATATTTTATTTGTAATACAAAGTAACCAAAATAAATATATTGAATGTCCTCCTCGTCAAAATCATGGTTCCACAAGATAGTAATAATATGTATTTCTATACATCTTGTTATAAGGCTTTGATTATTATTTCCCACCAACCTGTATTTATCTAAAATGGCAATAGGAGACCATTTCTTAATCAATAAAAATGTAGGTCACAATCTGGTAATTTAAGAAAATGGAGGTTTATAAATCAAATTCTAAATGCATTCAAAATAATAGAATGACTATATTTTTTTAAGTAAAATAATGTAAATAATAACCTATCATGGAGATAGATAGATTGATAGATATTTATTGAAGTAGGATAAACCTAATATACAAAAAAAATATTATAGAAATACACTTAAAACTTAAAGATAATTATTATTAACATTAACATAATCTGAGTTAAGAAAAATAAATTTGTTACACATTACAAAGATACTAATCTTAAGTTTAGACGGCCTTAATTAACAATAAAACAAATAACAGTTGAAAGCATGAATCCAAATATTAAAAAAGAAGAATAAGATAGTAAAATAAAAAAGTAATAATCAAATATATAAAAGTTAAAATCAAATTTTATCAGTTTAAAAAAACTTGCTAATTAATTACAATCCTTCAAGCCCCTGGGCAGTTCATTATATTCTTGGAAGCCTTTATACAATAATGATGCCTGTGATTTCAAATAATTAACTTTTTTAATGTATATATCATTAGTTGCTGTAATCATGAATATCCCCATGATAACAAATAAATTGATGAAAGTCGGATGGAGCCAAAGAATGAATTATTTTATAAATAAACATAATTGTCAAGTAGTACAACCTTTGCTGAATCAAAAACCATTGAAAAGAATTTAACATTGTGGCAATTGGTGTAAGACAATTAGTTTTTAATATTATGTGCATGCCTCGATTTTGTAGTTTTTGAAGTTGATTTAACTTGTTGAGATTAAATAAATGAAGAATGGAGGCACAATAATCGAAGTGAGGCTGAATAATTGTATTGTATACTGTTATTTTAGTTGAAGTTGACAAGTTATTTGAAATTCTAGAGAGGAAATATAATTTTTTTTTATTAATATAATTAAAGAAATCATTAAAAGTAAGTAGATTATCTAATTGGATACCTAAATACTTAATGGTTGGGACTATTGCGATTTTTTCACAATTTGTAAATTAACATCATTGATATCAAGTAAGCTATATTTATGTTTAGTTGTAAAAATAAGTGCTTTGTTTTAGTTACATTCAATTTCAATTTGTTAGGTTGAAAATACTGGGCAACTTTCTACAGTATTTTATTCATTTTCTTGATTGCACTCATTAAATTTATATCAGAGCATGCTAGCAGAGTGTCATCAACAAAGAGATTAATGAATTCACAATCAAAAAACAGTCCAATATCATTCAAATATAGTATAAAAAGCAGCGGCCCTAGGACACTTCCTTGCGGAACCCCTGTGTCAATGTTAACCTCGGGTGATATCTGATTGTTAAAATATACTTTTTGTCTACGACCTTGTAGATAATCATTCAGCCACTGGTATACTTTTCCACCTACACCATATTGTTGAATTTTCTTAAGTAAAATACCCCTATCAATGGGCTCAAATGCACGTTTCAGGTCTAAAAAAATAGCTAATACATATTTATTCTCATCCACATCATTTTTAAATTTACTCACCATTAACTGTAATGCAGACTCACAGGAATACTTTTTTCTGAACCCAGACTGGTTAGTTATTAAAATAGAATTATTATTAACATGTTCAAGTAGTTGTTCATACACAACCAGCTCTAATACCTTTTCAATTGACGGGAGAGTATTTACAGGCCTAAATTCTTCCGATTTTATTGTATTATTAACTTTTTGAATTGGAACAGTAGTACTAATTTTTAGTTGAGATGGAACTTTGCCAGTATCAAGTGAGGTATTAATTAAGTTTAAAATAATGTGTCCAATTGTTGCATACACTTCCTTTAGAACTCTAGAATTAAGAATATTAAATGCAGAATATTTATTATCTAATGAGTTCAAAATTTTATATAAGTCATGTAAAGTTAGTAAATTAAAGTTGTGAAATGGTAAGTATAAATTATTGTTTAGATTATGTCAGGGGACAGTTGCATCAATACTTCCAATAATATCCATAATACTGTCAACAAAATATTCGTTAAATTTAGTTGCTATCAGTGGCGGCTCGTGGCCAAAATTGTGTGGGTTCACAGTGACAGAATATAGATATCAGTATAGATGTATGAAAAAAACTTTCAGTGTTTTAGAAAGTTTATTATACACCTTTCTAAAAGACTAACAGTTTTTTACCTACATCTGTACCAAGAGCTATATTCTGCTACTGTGAACCACCAAAATGTTGGTCACGAGCCGCCCCTGGTTGATATGTCAACATTATCATAAAGGATAATATGGCCTGTTGATCACTAAATTGAACATGATCAGTCACATTTAATTTAATATTTACTAGTTTTTTTTTTAAGTTTTCCACATCTCTTTAGGATTTTCTTTGAAACAATCAATTTTATTAAAATAATGAGTAGATTTTCTTGATTTCAGCACATTAACTACCTCATTTCTACATTTTTTAAATTTATTCCACATATTCAGCTTTTGATGTTCTGCACGACTTGAAAGACTTGTAAGCATTATCTCGGATTTTAATTTTATTGTAAACCTCATTATCAAACCATAGTACATTAAGATTATGCATACATGTCTGAATAGGGGCAACCTTATTAATAACTTTCACAATTTGAAGATAACTCATGATAAATTATTTCAACATCAATACTATTAAGATTCCAGTTGCACATAATCAGATCATTTTGTATATTAAAAATGTTAGTTTCATTATAATTCCTATACTTTTTTATAACTTTGTTTGAAGTATTGCTTGTATTGGAAAAAATTACAGAAATCACAGAATGATCACTGATTTTCGGAGTATCATGAACTTCAGTGTCACAATTATCATCACTAGATAATACAAAATCGACTAGAGACTTACTATCAATATGTAGTTACTCGCGTAGGTTTAGTAACTTTTTGTTGGATACCATAGCTTGAGAAAAGATTCTTAATTTTTTTAACATAAAAACTATCACCAAGCAAATTTAAATTAAAATCACCCACTAATACAAATTTTGCATCCGAACTTGATGGAGAATGGTAAAGACATCCCACAATCCAGACTGCTGATGAAAAATTTATTTTTACTAAGGTGCACCAATAATTTTTTTCCAGAACATATGATTTAACAATTGAGCAAAATATCTGTTGTTGTTCTAGTTTCGCTTAGTAACAATACTTTGGAATTAAAGTTAATTAGATATTTGATCAACATTACTAATTAAACTTTGAGCATTGACAATATCAGAATTTAATGGTATATTAGGTTCCTCAATTAGTTTTTTTTATTGTAATTATTATTGTCAACAATAATTGGCTTGTCATATAGTTATTTACTAAATACCAACTCAATTCAGAATTAATTCCCACTTAATATTAAATATGGACGATTTTCAGGTGGGTTATAAGAGCAAGAGTTTCAAATAAAACTACTATTAAGACTTGGTCAAATTCTAGAGGTGAAGGAAAATTATTCAGCTTTGAATTGTTAGACGAAAGTGGCGAGATTCGTTGCACTGCTTTTAGGGATCATGTTGACAAGTTTTATGATTATTTACAGGTAATTTTATCGTTGTAAGTAGCTTATTTATTAGTAATTAATGTACATTATAGGTCGACAAAGTATATTACATCACGAAATGTCAATTAAAACCTGCGAATAAGCAGTTCAATTCATTGAAAAATGAGTACGAAATGACAGTCACCAATGACACTAACATTCAGGAATGTCATGATGCTGAAGCTTCCGAACTTCCACAAACGCAGTATAATTTCATTACCATTGACAAAATTGCGGAGAAAGATGTTAATTCCTTAGTAGGTAGGTAATTTTTAATTAAATTTTGATACATTTTTACTGTAAATGGTTCCTTATTTTAGATGTAATTGGCGTCGTGAAATCTGTAAGTGAATTGTTCACTTTTCAGGCCAAAACTACTGGTCGTGAGTTAAAAAAGAAGGAAGTTACTTTAGTGGATCAGTCGAAAACGTCTGTAAGTATATTTACATCTGTTTATGCATTTTAAGTATAACTTTCTGACAGTTAGAAGCTTCATTGTAATGCTTTTATTATGAATGTATCTTTTTCTGGGCTTATACCAAATTTCTCAAAAATAACCCAAGCTAATACAAATAATATATTTTAGTGCATTTTTAATGAAAATAAAACAATTCATTTTGTAGACCAAAAACACAGCACTCTAATAATTGTTTTAAATGGGATCATTATTATTAATACTCTGATTTCCGCAGCCACATTGTTAATTTTCTTGGTTAACCATTCAATTTTTATTATACACAAGTTGTTTCATGTGACACTCTACATAAAGAATAATTATTGACTATACCAGCCCCAGCATTAATGAAAAATTTTCGTTGATACTGTCAAAGACGGAGCCACAATTACATAATTCCAATTCTAATTTAAAAGATTTCTTGTCATAAAATCTCAAAATTCCCGCTTTCTCCACCCTCGCTTTTGTTTTGGGAAACGTGAAAGGAGACATGGATGACAGTACCTTTAAATATGTTATATAATAATCGAAGACTTTTTTACTAAAATGATACATGTCCAAAATCAGCTTTTTTTCAGGAAACAAACTTACCAGTCCTAATAAACTTTGTAGAAATGATCTAAATTTGACAGTGAATATCTCTGTTTCTGTGTTACTTTTGTAGGAAATCACCACCAATCACTAAATCAATTTTTGAACATTTTTGGACTTGTTTTAAAAGAAAGTCTTCAATCCTTTTTCTTAATTTTTTCCAAAATTTGGTATGCGTTAATCCATTTCTGCATGTCCTATTTACCATTAATTTATAATTATTACTAGTTCATCAATTACTAATTAACTGACTACTTAACTATACTTAGAGGCAATTTAATTAAATTTTTATAACATTCAAGTCAAATAATTTACATTGATAATCTAGATAAACAGATCCCTTTTAAATTACAAATTAATTTTTGTATTGTTAAAATAATGTATTACATTTGAATCGGTTATCACTAAAACACCCTAAGTCATATTTTCAACTTTTTCAGAAAATCTTAAGGATTTTTAGAACTACATGAGGTAAAACAACCTCTCATATCTCCCATATGTAATGTTTTGACTTACGGTTTTTTAGCACTAATTTATGTAGTTATTTTAAATAATTAGATTTTCCTACAAATATCAATATAGCCAAAATATGACTTAAGGGGTTTTATTAATAACCGATTCATTTAGTTAGAGACAAATCGGATATTTTGACATCAATTTTTTTGACCTTGAAAATTATTTTTCAAATGTTCGAAATCATGAAAAAGAATAAATTATTGACAACCTGTAATTGAACATCTTTATATCTTTCGTTATTATTTAACTGGATGGTTGTTTTAATAAAAATAAGTTATAACAATCACAATCAAATGGTAAATTACATTGGTAGAACTTATAGAACCTAAAAATTATGCATTTTTTTACTTTTACATCATATTTTGAAAGTAATAGAGCGATTGACTTCTTTTTATGAAATATAATGGATTTTATTTGTTGCACTAGTGTCACACTGTACACTGTATTTGAACTGTCATACTTGTCAAAAGTATATGCTACACTCAAGTATGTGTCTAATATTTTTAAGCTACACTGAACAAATCAAATGCGATTAGTGCAGAAAACTTACACCTAGTGCAACAAATAAAATCCACTATTTTTTTGCACTAAACGCATTTGATTTGTTAAGTGTAGCTTCAAATATTTGAATGTAGCATATACTTTTGAGAAGTATGACAGTTCGAATATAGTGCCAGGTCACATTAGTGCAACAAATAAAATCCAATCTTAGATTGACCACTCCTATCAATGCTATATTTGATGCTAAATATTATTTACTTGTTTATATTCCTAATTATTAATACAAATTTATTGTTATTAAATTTGTAGATTGCTCTGACTCTATGGGGCGAGGACGCAGAAACGTTCGACGGCACAAACAACCCCGTCATCGTTTTAAAAGGAGCCAAAGTGGGAGAATTCGGTGGAGGAAAAAATTTGAGCACCTTGGTCAGCACTAACATAAAAATCAATCCTGAATTGAAGGAATGTTATAGAATCAGAGGGTGGTATGATAGCGAAGGAGCCAATCTCGAAACTACAAATTTGAGCGCTAGAAGCGGATCTGGTAATTTCGCGACCAATTGGATGACGTTCAAGGAGGTTAAAGATAAAAATTTGGGCGGTTCCGAGAGAGGTAGTAAATTTAGAACTTCGTTCAAATTCAGATTCGATACGGTATTTTATTTTACAGGCGATTATTATCAAGTACTTGGCACAATTCTGCTTATAAAAACTGATAATATCATCTACAAAGCTTGTCCTACCGAAGAATGTAATAAAAAAATGGTAGACATGCAAAACGGGATGTACAGGTGTGAGAAGTGTAACAGAGAATTCCCCAACTTCAAATACAGATTGCTGGCACATGTAAGTATGCAAATATATGTTATGTGTTCTAAATTTTGCTCAACTATAATGCCCAAGTATTTTATTATTTTTGTCTTGTTATAGAGAATGCAATATAGTTCGTTTTGTTGAAATTTAGTGATACTTTTGATACATCTAAACAAATTTTGATTTGCTCAATTCCTATTGTTGCCTGCACTTTTAAAACTTCCCAATCTTTAGCACTAAATATTAGTACAGTATCTCATTTAAACTTTTTAGAAACATTAAATATTGACCCTAAAACTGTATCTTGTGGAATACAAATTTCTTCAATTTTTTGTGTACTGAATACAAATCAAAATGAAAAGTAAAGAAATTAATTGGGGATTTAAAACATGGGCTTTGTAATAAAGTAACATCTCACTCTAATCATATATAGTTTCTCGAAATAATAAATAATATGGCTTATATTAAATTACAGTTTATCTGAAAAAAATATAAATATTCAAACTACTATAAAAGAATATCAAACTTCATTAAAATCTTTTGACTCTTGTAATGCTTATTCATTTAAATAGTTTATTAATTTATTTATACTTAGACGCTAATTTATATTAACTATATTTATCGTAACAACAAAATATCTTAACAAAAAACTGACTTAAATGTCAAAACACTTATTTATATACGAATATACAAAACATTCCAGACGTTCTTAAAACATGCAAAACAGTGTTTCCACCATTTTCTAGAATAGTGCATCCACTAGAATCGTTGTCTGGCACTTCGTAACCATCCAGTGCATTCTGAATGGATGATTCAACTTGGACTGGCGGAGGCCATAGGCGTATCTATAGAGGGGTTTCGCAAGTTGATTTATGTAGTCTGTCCAGCCAACAAAAAAGCATACCAAAACAACGATTGGTGCATGATCACCTACTGTGAATCAACGAGTCTGTGTGGCGCTATGATGGTGATTCCCGAATAGGGGTTGCTCAGGCGCCAGTTTTGGTATCGCAGTTTGCTCTTAAGGTAAACTCAGTGGAGATAAAAATAATTCCAGGCGGTCACTGCTAGGTAGCCACTGTACTAGAATAAATAAAAATAAAACACTTATCTCCTTTACACTTCGTAATCTACGGTACCCTGAAAGAGAACGGTTAAGAACCAGCAATAGGAGAAACACAGGAATAGGTAATAAAATATATATTTACAAAAAAAAATACACTAATTAAATATGAACGGCTCCCTGTATTCGGAAAATTTATTAAAAATAAATTATTACACTTGAAAACTAATTAAACATTAACGGCTCCCTGTATTCGGAAAATTTATTAAAAATAAATTATTACACTTGAAAACTAATTAAATATTAATGGATCCCTGTAGTCGGAAAATTTATTAAAAATAAATTATTACAATTGAAAACTATTTAAATATTGATGGATCCCTGTATCCGAAAAATGTATGAAAAATAAATTATTACAATTGAAAACTATTTAAATATTGATGGATCCCTGTATCCGGAAAATTTATGAAAAATAAATTATTACAATTGAAAACTATTTAAATGTTGAGAAATAATTACGGTTCGTTAGCACAGAATGCCAAGCGGTCCGGGAATTATGAAACTCCCTGTATACGGAAAATTTATTAAAAATAAATTAATACACTTGAAAACAATTTAAATATTGAGAAATAATTACGGTTCGCTAGCACAGGAGGCCAAGTGGTCCGGGAATTATGAAACTCCCTGTATACGGAAAATTTATTAAAAATAAATTAATACACTTGAAAACAATTTAAATATTGAGAAATAATTACGGTTCGCTAGCACAGGAGGCCAAGCGGTCCGGGAATTATGAAACTCCCTGTATACGGAAAATTTATTAAAAATAAATTAATACACTTTAAAACAATTTAAATATTGAGAAATAAATACGATTCGCTGGCACAGGAGGCCAAGCGGTGCTGGAATTATGAAACTCCCTGTATACGGAAAATTTATTTAAAATAAATTATTTCAAATAAAAACTAATTAAATATTAACGGCTCCTTGTATTCGGAAAATTTATTAAAAATTATTTAAATATGACGGCAATCAAATGTAAGCAAATAAATGAAATCAAAGTTTTCGGAACGTCCCTGTATCTTAGTTCGGACCGATCGACGCTCTGACAATTAAGTTGAACGAGAATGATAATTTTCAGCGCGGTGTTTGGAACAAGAATGCGATGGTTAACGTAAAAATTATTTTGAGATTTGCTCAAAAGTCGATCAAGACGGTGTGTGAATTGATTTTACAGAAATTGTCGGCTTCGTTCAATAATTAGTTGTGGACGGGGAACGGAATGATTCAAATACAGCTGAATAAATAAAAAATAAAAGAAAAGAAATTTACATGAAGTGAGGCGCGAAAATTAATTTAGACGTCTTTTTAGGAAATTAGATAACGTCGTCAGGAGAGAGATCACTCTAACCCGGAAACGGGTTGAACCTCTCACTTCAATGTTAACAGGGCAGTTTCTAAGAGAGATTGGATATAGTCGTTGACAATGAGAGCACTCAGAGTCTAGCCTATGTCCAGCATCAAATAAAAAAAAATGCCAACGGTTTCCCACTGAGGGATGAAATGAAATATCCTGGATATGAATCAAAATTTTTCACTTGTCACACGCGTGTCCTAACTTATTATATAAAAGTCAATAAAAAATAATATGCGGTTTCCTACCTTACAAGATAAACGGGGTTATTCAATGATATTTCGAAATCACGGCACTCACGGAGTATTTCACTAGACACTATAGAAGGGCGAATAGTTTTCGGCTGTCGGCAATCAAGAGAGAAGAGCTTACAGCGGCCGGCAAGCAATCAAGAGAGCGTAATTCCCAGATGTGTGAATTTATGCTTTTCGGTAAACCTGAGTGGGGGATACCACTACTACAGCCGACTGTTTACAATTTAAAAATAAAAAAAATGTCCTTCTAGTACCTTGACAAATAAAGGTAGATAATTGGTACGAAATCGACTCTACTAAATGCCCATTCGGATTTCGGCAAATATAGGAATATTTTAATCTACGAGGGTACTCCCAATTGTTGAAAAACGGTAATTCCTGGGAAACAGAAATACGGGGGAACTTATACATGTTCTCAGGCGGGAATTAATTGAAATATACATTTTTAAATTAATTGAAAGCAAAATTTAGTGACTTCGTCACAGCATCTATTGGCTAAAATAAGCATGCTGGCCAATCGTATTTAATAGCGATCTTCCGGCGGAATTCGTTGTTGTTGGCACATCGCTGCAGAGTCGGCATGGTCAGTTTCGTTTGAACGATTATGTCGTAACGATCTGTGTTATATTTTGACAGATATTTAGTGTACATATATGGTGTTTGAAAAAGCCAGTTTTGCTGAAGCAGTCGCATATTTATAGTTACAAGACACGTAATTCACATTGTATCAGAAATAATCATTTTAGGTTATGTCTATTTGAAATTAATTCGCTAAATTTGAACTTATATTACCACAGGACTTTAAAAATTTCAGTAACAATGCTTTAAAAAACAAAGAAATATCTGAGACATTGTTTTTACTCTGTCAATGAATATGTTACACATTTTCGTCACTCTGCCTCATAATAATTTTAACTTTGACTAGTATAAGTACCTACCTAATATTTGTAATAATTGATTAGGTTAATATTGTCAACTTTTTCTATTATACAGTGAGCACCATAAGTCTTACCCCCCCTATCTAACTCGTTACTGGAGTCTTGTTAGGGAAATCGCCGAGACACGTCGATTTTTGATTTCTACAATGTACATTTTGAATGAAGCAAATTTCAAAATTTTTTGCACTGTTGAATAGTGAATAAAACCCCCTTTCAAATGAGCTATCACTCACCACCCCATGCCATTTAAATTTTTCGAAAGGGTTGCTACCCTTCAGTAAGGGATAAAATAATGGGTAAACTAATCATGCAAAAATGTACATTGTAGAAATCAAAAATCGACCTGTCTCGGCGATTTTCCTAACAAGATCCCAGTAACGAGTTAGTTAGGGGGGGGGGTAAGACTTATGATGCTCACTGTATGTAAAACAGTTAATAAAATGAGTTTATTTTAAACATTTTATTTTAGATGAACGTTGGAGACCACACAGGAAATCAATGGATTAGTATGTTCAATTCTGAAGTAGAAAAGATCTTGGGTGCAACAGCTGAAGAGGTTGGACAGCAAATTGAACAAGACTCTGAACAGTTGGCCAGCATCGTTGATCGAGCTCATTTCAAAGAATATGTTCTTAAATGCAGAGCCAAATTCGAGACGTATAATGTAAGACATTTTATCACAAAACAATAATTTAAGACCTTGGCGTAATAAGGTTACATGCCACATCATAAGTTTTTAGAAAATTGAATTTTAAATTTGTTTTAAATCTGTCAAATATAAATTAAAAAAATTATTTAAATATAAATATTACGAAAAATATCGTTATATTTCGGATTAGAGGTAAAAAATTGGCATGTGTATATTTTAACCAGATGTTTTGAGCTAAAATAGTAACTTCACGACAAAGTGTGGCTTGTATCCTTTTTACTCCAAGGGTTGAAGCGAAATGCATTTAAATTGAATATTTTTTTTTAAGGATGAAGCTCGTGTAAAAACAGTTTGTATCAAAGTCGACCCCGTCAATTACGAAGAATATAATGCTTATCTCGTTGATAAGATACAAGAATTAACGGGTTTGAATTTTGGATGAATCTCTTGATTTCAATATATATTTATATTAGTTTGTAAGTTTATATTCCGGTAATAATACGTTGATTTTCACCAGTAATATAACTTTTTTTTATTGTAAACTTTATATTTATAGAATTAAAATTGTTAATTCTAATAAAGGATTTACAACTAAGAGGTATTTCAAATAAAAGTTTTTACACTCTACGAGTTCTATTACTAGTTAAAATGAATGCTTTTATTTATGAGATGTACTGTGTATAGTTTAGTGGTCGTAGTAATTTTACATTTATACCTTGTTTAATAATTGTATCATTGTAATAGAATTATACATGGTGAAGGTAGCAAAGAATGAACAGTTAAGCATTCATATACTAATTCATTGTATTCCGATAAGAAATTAATGAAATATTTTCTGAAATATCCAAATTAAAACAGATCTTGACTAGACTTTAAGTTCAAAATCCATTTTTTTTATAGAAGCTGATTAAACAAAAAAAAATTATATAAGTATTACTAAAAACAAAATTGTTTCAACTTTGACACCATGCAACTTTTTAATTAATATTTCGTTGAAGCAAATTAAATCAATTCGTAATGCGCTAGTTCAGTGATGATGTAATTATGGTTCCACTGACAAAGTGACAGTAGATTTTTTGAGTGCGTTTTGTTTACATAAATTATATCGTTTTTTTCACTTTTATAAATATATTCCTAAAGCAAGTAGATAGCATGTATCAAATATACAATCGTTTATATACAATCATTTACATACCTTTAAACTATTTTTTATGACCTGTAAACAATATTTTGAAATAAAATAAAAACAGTAAAAACGTATGTCAAATTTATTGATGTTTTTGTTAAAAGTTTGGTTAGAATTAAATGTCAGTGGAACCAAAATGACATCACACTGAACCAGCGCATATTTTAAAGCTATACTTCTAAAATAATTTGTTCTTCGTTTTGCTATTTTGTATTTGTTAATCTTTCATAGCTTAAAGTGGCATTTCGAAACTTGTCTGTCGTCAAAATCAATCCTACACATAGAAATTTTGCTTATACAGTGCTTTCATTTCAAAACCAGCCAGTTGAAATAATTTTGGATTTTACGTAAATTTATTGAAAACAAAAATCAGTCAACTTTTATTTGCACGGGGACGAATTGTCATAAAATTTATACCCAGAAATCCAACCTCCTGGAACCCGGCAGTAACCTGCTATTTTCTTTTTTTAAATAATAAGTATAAAGAAGCACTTCTTGTCGACGTTGTCAACTACATCAAATCTAGGCTGGCTCACAAGCTAGGTACGTATCCATGTAGGAGGATGCACAATGGGTCTAGTGATACCTAAGTCCCTTGAGGTTCCCCCCTTGTATTACAGATACAGGAGATAGTTAAGCAACACATTATTTAAACAAATTATGCTATGCACTAAATTACTAATAAAATTAGCTTTCAAATCAAGCGTAACATTTTACAGTTTTTATCACGCTAGAGGGCGCCACAATCGAAGTAATTAATAGTCATATTGTTGAATTCTCCATAAAATTACCTTTTAAATGATGTCACTTGACCATACTTACTACTTGAATAGATATGCCGGGCTTCAGGTATAAATACTATAGGACAATTCGTCCTCTTGCTGTTAAAAATTGACGGTTTTTGTTTGTTTCGCTTAAATTTACGTGAATTCAAAAGTTATTTCAATTGGCTGATTTTGAAATGAAAGCACTCTAAAATTACTTTAACCACGTACATCATTCTCCAAAACCTTACAATAATTCAATTCCTTAAACTTGTTTACTATAAAATTAACCATAGTGTGCACCATTTCAGCTGCTATTAATTTAAACTAATATTTTTTGCATGATGGCGGGGACATTGTCCTATATTCTACAATATTAACACCAAGCAGTTATGTAATTTTTTATTTTTCAAAAAATTTAATTGAATTGTTCTTTTAGTGGTGAATGTTCGCCCCCTGGTACCTTCACCCTACTTTGATTCAGAGTAATGTATGTATGTGAAATTTTCGTGGCACCTTAATTTTTGAGTTTGTTTTTATTTTTAGTATATTAATAAAAACGAAAAAAATATATATGCGTAGGTAAAGTTTAAATCAGCGACCCTGGAGCAGATATTTCAAAATATGAGTCCGTTTTTTTTTGTTCTAAAAAAAATCTAGGAAACATTTTTTAAGGGATTAACCGTTACATAATATGCGTACATATTTTTTTCTTGCACTAAAAATAACAAGATTCGTAAGTTAGTGACTACAAACTTTTTCCTTTTGTATTTTAACGAAATTAATAATGAAAACGAAATATATTCTTTTTCTCATATTTTGCGAGGAATAAATAGTATGTAATTTTTTTTATATAATGGTTTTTAATTATATTTTTATATAAATAATATCTAAAGTAAGCATGTAATTTGATTTAGAACAGTATATGCAAGGGTTCCATAATACAATATTGTTAATATTATTTTTATTCTTAGTGAAAGAAAAAAATATGTACTCTTAGTGAGGATATATATTTTTTTAGTTAAAAATTTGCGCGTCCTCCTCGAAACTCCTCATAATCTGGCATCAAAATTTTTCCGCTACCAAAAACACAAGATACAGCAAGAAGAAAAAGAAGAATTATCCGGCTCGACGAGGCGCGTTGATTGATGTATCACATTTAGGGTTTTTATAACAGGGGGAGGGCAGAGATAATATGTCCCTAATCTCTGGGGGAGGGAATATCAGAAAACCGTAAAACTTTTACGTTTTTTTTTTTCAGAAATTTATAATTTTTTTTATTTATCGGATGCAAGAAAATTTGAAATTTTCCTACGATATTTCCCACGATAAAGTAGTTTGTTAGTCGCATAATATGCGACATGATTTATTAGTTTTATCACAAGTTGAATTCAAATTACCCCTGCTAGATAATTTTAATACTTTTTTGAAGTCAACAAAAACGTTGATAATATAAATACAAAATAGTTGTTAAAAAAAAGGAATCTAATTTTGAAAAAGTGGCAGAGGGACTATAATTTAGCCTTTACCTATATGTACGTATTTTGAGTTTTAGTTTTTAAAGAAATGAATATTACAATTAAACCTAGGTAAATAAAATTTTCTGTTCTATTTTACGTGGAACAAACACTAAGTACTTTTGTATTTTTTTTTTATATTTTTGTACGCCTATATCTGAGAGAAGTGTGTACTTTTTGATATAGACATTCATCTTTAGCTAAGAAATGCTGAATATTTTTCAATTAAATCATTCTAGTGTTTTATGGCTAAATCCTAAAAGATTAGTGACTATCAAATTTTTCATGTCCTTTACACCTATTCATGCATTCATCCAATGTATATTTATTGTTCATTACTTATGTTGAATAAAATTGTAGATTACAAAAACCCGTCTTTTATTGGCCAAGAAACAAATTGTCATAAAATTTGTACCCAGAAATCCAACCTACAATTTTTTAAAGAACCACTACCACTTGGTGGTTGTAAACTACTCACGAGGTAGGATATGCGAATCATCTTGGGCAGATGCACAACGTGCCTATTTGTCTTGGGAGTTGGAAAAACATTACAAACAATATTTTGAAAATTGTGGGTTTATTTTAACTTCAAGATTTCATGTGAAATGTTATGTCAACTTGGAAAAATTTGAAAGCCAGTGACTAGCACTAACCTTCATACTAAACTAAATGACTATTATGTCAAGCCTTCCTCCTTATTTGAAATGGGTGGAAACAAAAGACTATCAGCATGACAATTTGACAATTTAGACTCCATACTTGTCAATTTCAAGCATTCTTTGTCACACTTTTCACAAGCGTACTACAGTAAGTTTTATTAATAAGGTATTTTAATTATTATTTTGGTGTACTTTTTCTTGACTCTTCTGTCAAACAGCACCATGCTATGTAGCCTAATTTAGTGGATCAGCTAGTTTACATTTTTCTTGATTGGACAATTTGTAATGTTGTGAAGAAGTTAGGTATATGATAAATTTGGACAAGATTTTGCTCTTGTCATTTGTCCAATTTTCTTTTGATAGACAATTACAGAATTCAGTTATGTTCTGTTTAGAAAAGCTACAAGTTTGTAATGTTAATTTTTCTTTTAATAATACTTCAGTGTAGGTTTTAGTATTTATTTTCATTAAGAATAAAGTGTTTTTTATACAAAAATAGTAAAAGTCTTAGCTACAGTTCTGAATCACTGTTGACATCTGAAACAAAAGTAATTGTGAATTGTTAATATTTCGAGACAATAAATGTATTTAATGTTAACCTGAATCACAGGGATCACCCTAAATGAGTAAAAAATGTTTATAAACAATGTTATAAAGTTATATGCATTAAAAATATACAACTAAATACAAATGTGGAAAACAAATCTCTGCTATTATTTTAGTCCTTGAATTTGTGATATTTATTATTTATTAAGTTATTAACTTTCATCAAACATTGTTATAAAAGATAGTGAATTTACCCTTTACAGAGGTTCCAAATATGCCTTCTTCCTGGCATATGCTCCAAAACAAGCTAATATTGTTATAATACTAATAGATAATCCTATTAACAGAGCTAAAGTATCTGAAAAATACCACATTTTTAAAGTATTTAGGAAAGATTACAGATTTACTGATTTATCATCACAGAATTTATCATGTACCAAAAAAATAATGTTATTGCTTATTGCTTGTGGTTTGTGGTACGTTGGTCATAGATAAACTAATAAAGAAGATGGTCGGATTCTGTGTTAATCTTTGGAAACGTAGTGCTGCGAATTAGTATGGAACGGATCTTTTTTGAACTACACTGGCTGATTGATTTGTCAGTAAGAGGCATAAAAAAAGAAGAGTGTTAACGTAACCGCGGTTCATTTAAATATCTTTATTTATTTATATTTTTTGGGGTTCATTACTTTAAAAAGAAAAACTAATATTTATATTAAAATATTGTATTTAACATATATATTAGTTTTTTTTTTAGTTATAAAACTCCAAAAAATGTAGACAAAAAATATTTACACTGAAATAAAATATAAGACAAATATATTTAAATTATTTATTATACAGTAATACATACATAATGTGTTAATAAAGATCAATTGTAAGTGAAATGAATACTAGTTTCCCCACATTCTTGTAAAAATGGACCATACTTTGATGGGCGTCAGGTGTTTCCTATAAAAACAAAACAAAAAGTGTACATATATGTTATTGAACAATTTCTCTTATCAAAATGTTGACCATTTTTATAAAACTAAGTTATTTTTAATTATTTGACGAAGATTGAGAACGACGCAGTCAACATATCCAACAATTTTGTCATTAACTGTATCAAAAGTGAGTTTTTCGGTTAGAGCTATTTCGTCGAACATTAAAATACAATTCCTATCAATTTCTGGCATTTTTCTAACAATTTCTTTAAATCTGGAAAACACTGAATCATTTATCCCCGTTTCAAAATGTAAATCACTTAAAATTTGTTGGATAGTAGATTTACTAGGCAACGAAATACATTTTCTTAAAAAATTATATGCTCTTGGACCATTTTTATATAATGCTAAAGAAAAAATTTTATTCTGAGTGGTCCAAGAGGGTTTCTTTCTCTTACAATTTTCTAAACTACTTTTAAAGAATTTAATTCCAATCGGATCTAATTTATTATTAAAATCTGAAAATAACTGAGTTTTGGATAATTCAAAGGCTTTCCTGATTTTATTTTTGGAAACACATAGAGCTTTCTTTAGCTTACAAATTCTAACGTTTTGTTCTCTATTAATAAAATACAGCTTTTTCTCTTTGGGACTTAAATTTTTGACTTTACTTTCATTTATTTGTTGCAAAACAGTTTTTCTCCGTTTGGAGGGTTGTTCAAATTGTACATCACTAATATTTAGTTTACGTTTGCAACTAATTTCTTGATTTTCGTTGCTGATTAGCAAATCTATCTTATGCTGCTGTGTTTGTGCTTCAGCCTCAATATATTCTGAAATCTGGCTCTCCGGTTGTATATTTGAACTGGATGCATAATTATCTAAAGAAATTGGTACAGAATGTACAACTAGTCGTTTACGTTTTGAGGAAACCTTACTAAAAGACTGGCAAAAAATGATCTTCACAAAGATAGCGAGTATTATTATCATCTAAAGTTAAATTCTTAAACCAGTTCTGGCGAACTTTAACATCAGAAGGAAAATGAAAAAATGCTTTATTTGAATAACCAACTTGCTGAATATTAGAATAATACTTATTTAAACAATTAGGAGCTGAACAAGAATACTTAACTATACCCGGGCCAGACATTTTTGTTTCAAATATTAGAAAAGGAATTGTTGAAATATGAAATTAGATACCTATATATCGTTAAGGCTAAGAAAACAATGATAAACAAAGTCCTTAAATACTTAATATTAAATTAAAGTTAATACTTACTAATTACATCAAATCAGCACCGTTTGTTTCTTAACCTAAAAATAACTTACCTACCTATGTAACTTACGTCATAAAATAAAAATAAGTTTTATTTTATCATCATATCCCGCCTTCCGCCATCACGTTTTTCATTTTTTACAAGGTTGTCAATCCCGTCTTTTAAAAATCTCAGCAATAGTATGGACATTGTATGGATGGTATGGTGCGCATGTAGATTGATAAAAAATTAAAATAAAATGAATTTGAAATAACTATCATCTCATGAAAGTTTACGGAAACCGGCAACATCGCTTTCATACTATTGCGATGGTGGCGCTAACTAATAGTATGCTGGGAACTACGCCGTGTTGACAGTGGCGGGCATTTAATAAATTCATCTTGTTTTATATTAATTTATCTATGACGTTGGTACTACTGTTTACTGATTTTGATAGGTCTTTTCCTTTGCATCGAAAGTGTAGCACTGGGCTACGTTATTTCTGAAAATATTGTTCCATCCATACAATTTGTATAAATAGAACGATTATTTTCAGAAGTGGTGTAGCTCGGTCCTACACTTTCGATGCAAAGGAAAAGACCTGATATAAAGTATATAAACAACCCCTAGCTGATGGATAAAAATGAAAACGGCTATTACCGAACCGAAACGAAGAATCCAATGATATATTTTAAATGGATTGCTTTGCGAATTTTTATCGATGTTTATGTATTCAAAATTTATGTAAACAAAATTTACAGAACCGGTTTAGAAATTAGAATTTTCACTTTATTATTTTCTTGTTATTAAGGTTTAATAGATTTAAATGCATAGTCGGCCCAACCCAATAACTGTGAACGCTCTTTTGGTATCATGATGTTTTTACTGAAATTAATTCATGTAAGTCTTGTTTAAGCCAGTGTTTTAACAAAGATGGGAGAATATTGAGAACAAAAATATATTACGTTTTATCCAAAAATAAAAGAATATAAATTACAAAAACCGTTTATTTGTTACAAAATTAAATTAACATCTAGACACATAAAATTTAAAAAAGCGTTTAATAGAAAATCAAAGGTATAGCATATAATTGGATCAAAATTGATCTTTAAGTGGATGCTGAATTAAATGTTACGAAACGCTAGCAACAACAACAAAGATTACGAAGATCTTTCAAACAAGATGTAGAGAAGGCTCGAGAGAAGGTCTCTAATGAAAATAAAGACAATATGCTTTCCACGAAATTTTACAGCTATAGCATCGTTGATAAATAATAAGTAGTTGGGTTACTCTGACTGTGGCCCCTCGAGAGGAACTCGTTATCGGCTTCTGTCCGACTGATATTCTACTAGTCTTTTATTTTTCTATGGTTTATAGATGATGACTATATAAGAATAGTCGTGTTATTAATATTTCATTGTTCAATATTGGTTGCCATATAATTAACACTTTCCAATCTTCTTGGCATGGACAAAATTAAATGTTGGATATCGTCTATGAGCTTTTCGAAAATATTTTTAATAACTTCCCATGCATAGTTTACAGCAGTTTGCCGGACTATATATCTTTTTGATTAAAGCCCCATACATTTTCAATGGGGTTCGCAAGTCAGGATTTTCTGCTGACCATGACAAAACATTTATGTTGTTGACCCACTCTCTTACTATTTGAGCTGTATAAACTGGATAATTATCCTGTGATAAAAGACAAGTATTATAAACATTTACGAGTTTACCAATTTGATTTTTTACATGTTGAAAGGTATATAAAAAGTAATGCTCGAATGAATCGCCCATAAATTTGCCAGCACATTCCAGGACCGGTAACGCTTATCCACTCCTAAACATTGACAGAACATCAAGTGATACCCAACCGTATAATTAGTTTCTGGGACGATAAACGTATCCTTCCGCTATTTGAACGTTTTTTATCGGAGAATACCGCAAGTTGTTCCAAAATTCCTCCTCGCGAATTAAAAGTTCATTTACAAACTGAACTCTCCTCTGCGCTTATTTTATGCAGTTAAAAAACATTGCTGGTCGCAGCGCAGTTTTTTTATGCCAGCTTGTTTTAAACGTATTTGAGCTGTTCACAGATCATGTGAATAATGTTTTTCTCGTGCTTTCACAATTACCAAAATAAATTTGACAGATATATTCTATACACCTTGTCTGAAAGATCTTCGCAATATTTGTTCTTCTTTACAGCGTTTCTTAACATAAAATATGCAACTTTAACCGACATTTGATTCAGTAACCACTTTTTTTTCAATTTTGCTATAGCCCTCGACTTTTGATCCTCAGAGTTAAATGCTGCGATATTTTTGAAAATGTATTCTTGATTTTTTAAGGTAAATCATTTAAATGTGTCGCTCGCATTTCAAGTTCGTCAACTGTAGGTACATTTTATAGATAGTAAATATAATAGGAAACTATAATTGGGCCAGAACGATTCTGTTTAATGTTTACTTGAAAAGGCAATATGGCTGCGGCGTACATTTATGTATGTGCATATGGGTAAGCAATCCATGTATAATGTAGCATTGGTAGAATGACATAAGGTTGACAAGACAAGTTGTCATGAGAACTGGAAAAATGTCAAATTTTATGTAGTTTATTTTTTAAATTGGTGAAGTAAATAAAAGCTGACAAAATGAACATTTTTCTTTATATTATCTACGTTATTGTATAAAATATAAATATTTGGCTACGATATTTTTTTTACGTTTTTCAAAAGGATCATCATAAGGATATTAACAAAATATTTTTGTCCAGGAAGCCCATTTTTCAAAATAATTTAAGATGAATACTACAACATTTAAAAAATATTTAGATGCTCTTAGCAGAGAAGGCAACAGCAACAACATTTTGAAGTTGTTGAACAAAATAAGGAGTTTAGTCGATTGGCCAAAACACAGTAACAACATTAATGTATTACGAGATACAGGCTACTTGCATAAGTTGTTGAATATCTTGGAAACACAACAAGACAAGCATATTATCGACAAGTGTCTTAGCATTTTAGGGAATTGTGCTATGGAGAGGACATGTGCAAGAGCAATGGTAAGAACTAGTTTTCTTCATTTATATAATAATAACTAAACAACTGGCGTGAACTAGCTCTCTTTGCTTTTCACTAAGTTTTTATTCCAAAAATACTTGGCATAAAATGTATATCAAATATTAAAATAAACGATTTTTCTATTTTGTCTTTATAAAACTTCAAACACTTTTCCTTTAAATATTTTTTTATGGAAAAACTAAAATGTGTCACAGCATAAAACTTACTGATTTTTCCCATTCTTATATAAAAAAAATGTTCACAAACCCATTGTTATTATATATTATATCATTGTATTCAAATAAGATATAGGCTTCAAATCATTCCCCCTCCCATTAAACTTAAATATTTTTTCACAGAAACTAAGATAGCTTGACATAAAAGTTTTTAATTAATATTTTATATAACAATAATCGTTTATTTTAATATTTGAAATAAATATTATACGTTGTATTTTTGAAATCATTTGATAAAAATATTTTAGTATCGGACACATAATGCATTGTCAGCTCTTAACCATGTGTTAAAATGTTATCCAAAAGAAGACAGCATAAATGGGAGAGTTTTCAGAGTGCTGGGAAATTTATGTCAGCATAAGGAAGGTTGGGCTGATATAATCATTAGTAGAAAGCCACAGATTATCACCCATTTGTTAAAAGTATTATCTAGAGCTAGTAAAAATACGGAATTGAAAGAAAATTCTTCTGAAGCTACTATCCTGATGGCGCTCAGAATTTTAAAGTAAAACTATCATTTACTTTTTCAATCATATTTTTTACAATGAGGTATCTATTGTTTCAGATATTTAACTAATAAAGAACAGCTCCTCAAGACGTTTCCAGTTTTAAATACAATTGGTTCTCTTTTCATAAAATCTAGTCAAGAATGGCAAGAAAGCCAAACAAATGAAACTGTTTTGAATGCTTTAATAACAATAATTTACCAATTTTCAGTTTTAAAGGATTATTCCATGGTAACAAAATTAAAATCTACTACTAATGGAAACGCTTTAAAAGAACTTGTTAATGTTTTGCTACTATGTCCGATAACGATCATAAAAATTATTATGAATTTCATCACTATTAGCAAGTTGAATTCAGATTTGCCTGTACTAGACATTTGTAATAAATTTATTGACGCAGTTGTTAAAAATATGGATACAGAAGGTAAGTACTTAGTTGGTTTTAAAAAGGAGGATCTTGCCTGCAAAACCGGCTATACCAATATTGGGAAAATACCAGAAACTCCCCACTTCCTGTCCTTCACAGTTTTAAAAAATATAAAGTTGTGTCTTGTGACTTAAATGTACTTGATTGATTACACAAACTTCAAATTAAGTCCCAAATTATAAAAAATGTTTTGGAAATACAAAAATAAATGTAGGAAACCTTAATATTAATAAACTAATTCTAAATACAAGAAAATAACCGAAAATTAACACATACCTATTCTTAGTAAAAAAATCAACAAAGAAAATTAGCATTTATATTAAAACAATAGGTTCATGAAGACAGTCACATCTTCAACGTTAGTTTCATGCTCTTTAACTTTCTGTTGAAGCACTGAAAGGTTCTGATAACATTCTAATTCAGGACGTTTCCTCCACTCTTATTTCAAATGCCTCAACCATAACTTAGTAAAACTCAAGCATGGATTTGTCCGATTTTGCTCCAAAACCTACCATTCAAATGACATTTTAAAATTAGTATACCCGGTTTTGAATGGGAAATTGTGCATGGCATTCAGGGACCTTTTTGAACATTTTTGATTTCAATGGAGGAGAAATAGCTGTTACAATAGTCTGCTATTTCTATATCATTTTAAATTTAATTTTGTTTATTGACAATAAAAAAATTGTTAAATACTTTTTCGTTAGTTGCTTCAAAAAAATCAGTCTATATATTTTTTGAAGTCATGTTTAATACTGTCTTTAATATTGTCTATATAATAATTTTTAGTTTTTGTTATTAGTTAATTTAATTATTCCTAAACAGGTTATATTTGCTTTCTTTTTGAACAGAATATTTTTTTTTAATTCTTTTTAAGTTCATATCTAAATTTTATTTCAAACGAAAATGTTTTTTTAGGTTTTAAAACTGAATGTCTAGATTATATCAAATGCTTATGCTACCTCCTGGATCATCCAGCGAATAGAACTGCTCAGCAATGTGGAAAAACTATCTCCATACTAATTCAGGCTCTTGAAAAATTGAACCAACCCACAGATTTAGAGCTTGAATGCTGTGTTCTATTGGTTAACACCCTAAATAAATGTCAGTATGCGGAGTATCTTGTCCAGGAGCAGTTGCAATGCAATATTTTGGATGTCTTAATAAAAAAGTTGGAATGGATTGTAGACAACACAGTTATTATGAATACTCATGATTTTAATAATGTGTTGAAACGGAAATTGACCTTTGATGATGCCGAATTATATCCTCAAGGGTCGTTTTCTGTGAAACGGAAATTGTGTTCTTGTTGTCTCAAGGTTTTAGATTTGAAGAATTTTGATTGTCCTATGTCGCATGGTACTGTAAGTATTTTTTCTGTAATTAAATTTGGTATTATAAATTATTTTAATGATTTTTTTTAGCCTGCTTCAAAACGATTAGCGTGTCCCAGTGAAGATGAAGACAATGATGATGATGTTGATGACATTGATGACGTTGAAGATAGTAGTCAAAATCCCGTTTCTATCGACAAGGAACTTAGCTATTTCACAGTTGTTACAAAGGATGATAGAAGTCTTAGTCCATGTTCAAGTACAGGTAGCGATTATGCAGCTTTGTCTTGGGCATCACCATGTTCTAGGTATGTCTACTGTATGCTATGGTCGTTTATATTACAATATATACACTTTTTAACTTTAATTGGGTTTCTATTTGAAGCACTAGAATCATTATTGATTTGTATAAAGGGTTTTTTGAGATTTACATTGTTTTTGAAATTTTCGATTTGAATTGAAGTAGTATTTTTTGTGTGATGTGCATTTGTGTTTGTAGTGTTTTCATTTATCTTTCAAAAAATTTAACAGTTGCTGAATGCTCAAAGTTTCTTTCAAAAGCTATATTGAACTGTATACTCGTATCTTAAATCTTTTAGTGTACAATTTCGCAACACGTGTATACTTTTTTTTTCAGTCCTCGATCATTAGGCAACGAAGCCGAAGTGTATTCAGATTCTGACGATTATTCGCCAGTTTGCAGTGAAGCGGATGACACGGAATATCAGTTAAATACAAATAAAACTGAAGGATCTGTAGACATAAATTCACATTCTGAATGTAGGCAAGATGAAGAAAACGAGCGACTTCGTAAGTATAAGTTCCCCCACATAGACAGGCTCCCCCGAGCCATGTAGTGCGTGGTTTAATTAGATATGTAATAGTCACTTGACAGTTTTTAATTTTCTTTGCGGCAATTAAGGAAAACGTAATTGATATCGGATATCGAGTTAGTTTATGTAACACAAAACTAGAATTGTAGCATCTAGGGATTTTTACTATCGTGGTCCATTGCAGCTGTAATATCAAATCAAATTCTTTTATTTGTACTAGGGAGAATATACAAAGTGTATTGTGTTGTACACGTCAATATCCATAACTAAATATTACATAAAGATAAAGCTAAAAATTAAAATAGATGATGCAAAAATACCAACTGCAAGATGTAGTATTGTTATTAATAATTAATGTGCGAGCTAGATAGACTTACCAAGTAAGAATGGCGTATTTACCAAGATTAGAGGAAAACCTAGCAAAACCCATAGTGCCATAATTTGCAATTGGTAATTACATCAATCATACCACAGAAAATTAATACTGATAGGTAGACAAAGAAGAAAAAAAAAACTAAACTACTAAACAGCTAAAAAGGACCCTATCTTATTTCTAATCCTAACTTATTACATGAATTTGAAATATTTAAGATTGTAACATCATCTAGTGAGTAGGACTCAATATCAATTAAGATATTTCTAATGGTTGACTTAAATCTGCCTACATTTTAAATATTTTTTATATAGCGTGGAAACATATTATAAAATTGTATGCATTTAAAATAGCATCCTTTTTCAAATAGTGTGGTTTTATGCGTTGGTACTACAAAACTATCTACTCCGCGTGTATTATGTGTATGACAAAAAATATGTTCTTTAAAGTAAACCTGATTTTCAATTACAAAATTTACACGAAAATATACATATGCCCCCAACCACCGTCATCAGATTTGATTGTCGAAAAAAACCCTCGACAGGAATCTCTAAAGTTCAACCCAGTTAATATTCTCAATACTCTTTTTTGTATCACAAAGACCTCGTAATTATGAGAACCACCCCAGAAGATGATTCCGTAACACATAATGGAATAAAAGTGTCTGAAATAGGCAGATCTCAAAGTGTTTTGGTTTACCACTTTAGCTAATTGTTTTAGAGCAAAGCAACTCTTACTAAGCCTACCACAGAGATTGTCCACATGACAAGACCATCCCAAATTATCATCTACTATCACACCAACAAATTTTGCAGAGCTTCTGTGTTGTTTAGATTTATAGTATTTTCATAATCGTTCTTATTTCTGCTGTGTTTAAACAGGATACAATTTATTTTGGACATATTTAATACTAAGAAATTTTTTAGAAACCACTCTGCCGTTATTGATGATATGTGCAACATGGTTCTTGTTTCAGACTTTCATAATCAGTACTGGCTATTAAAATGTTAGTATCATCTGCATAATTTGTTAGTGTTACTGTCGCCTCAAAAGGCACATGAGTGTCATAAATCCAGCAGAAGAAGCAACTTTGTGCAGGTTCTGTGAAGAAGAAGAAGAAGAGGAAACATCATTCCACGTCCTGTGCCAATGTGAAGGCCTGGCTGGAATGAGGTTTCTAACATTGGGCGAAGAAAAGCCAAATGCATGCAACTACGTGCGGGAGCCACTGTCAAAGCTATTAAGTCTAATAAAAAAGACCAGGCTAGACGACATACTCTAGAACAAGCGGAGTCCCACAATAGATCTGAAAAGGTCGCGGTGGACAAGGACAAGTAACGTCCAGCTCCCAATCTAATCTAGTGTTACAGAAGACAAGTCTATCACATTTGATAGGTTATTAATGTAGAGGAGGAATAGCAAAGGACCTAAGATACTTCCTTGTGGTACACCTATATGTATCGATTCTTATTCTGAGAAAAAGAGTCCACTATTTGTTTTCAGACAGACTTTTTGAGACCTTGCATTCAGATATGATTTAAACCAATCATATGCAATTCCACGTACGCCGATAACGTATAATTTTTTTAATAGTAATTGGTGGTTTACACAATCAAAGGCTAGAAATACACCATGCACAATACAGCCATTATCTAGGTGATGTAGAATGCGTTCTACAAAGGAAAAAATTCCTGTAGTTGTAGATTTTCCTCTTTGGAATCCATGTTGAGTAGAGGTAATAATTCCATTCGTAGCAAGAAACTTAGTAAGGCGTTTACTCATTGCAATTTAAAAAAATTTTGAGAAGCTGGTTAGCAAACTTATAGTTTTCCATAAGGAATGGATCTCCTTTTTTTAGAATAGGTCTCACCACTGCAGATTTTAGTTTTGATGGGAAATCACCTTTCTGAAAGGAATTATTTATTATGTAACATAAAGGCTCAAGAATATATGAAGCAACATTTTTAATAAGCACATTATGAATATGAAGATGATATTATGAATATCATCTTCACCTGCAGACAGCTTGTTTTTTAAATTTTTTATTATTTCCGATAGCTCTTCTATTGTCACATCTGCTAGATATATAGATTGTGGATTATGTTGTTGTATTCTATTTATATCTACATTGTCCATATCTAGGTCTCCTAGAATTTGCGAAGCAGCTGTTTTGAATTAATTATTAAATTTATTGCAGGCTTGTTTAGGTCATCAACTTTAATTCCATTGAAAGTAGCCAAGTTTTTATAAGACCTGCCCAATTCCGTATTAATAACGTTCCAAATAGCCTTTATTTTATTATCTGATTCATTGATTTTTTTTGTTGTAAAGATGTTTTTTCTCAGATAGCAGCAGTTTAGAGTAATACCTTTTATATGCGTTAAAATCTTCTTTACTAATAAGCCCTTGTATGTACAATTCTAAATATAAATTTAAAGTATTTTTTGCCTCGCGAATGGAATTAGACAGCCATTTACTCTTTTTATGTTTTTGATGCGTTACCCTCTTCAGTGGGAAGGCCTCGTTGAAGTGTTGGAGGAAAGTTTTAATAAAACAGTTAGACATTATATCTACAGTGATTACTTCATACACACATAGCCAAGTTTCTTTTTGTAGTAACTCATAAAATTTATCATAATTTTGTTTACTGAAAAAACGCTTTACTTCAGTTACATTCTCCGGCTTTTATTTCTCAGTCAATACACATAATCGCTGACCTTTATGATCTGAAAGATTTGTATTTAGGACATTCGCACTGTATTCTAAAGTTTGAGATATATAAATGTTATCAATACAAGTAGATGATGTCGGTGTAACTCTGGTTGGTTCCCAAATACTAACTTTCATATCATAAATGTTTAGCATGTTTATTAACATGGTCTGGTGTTTTAAATTCGATTTACTTAGCATATCTATATTAAAGTCTCCTGCAACCAGCATGTAGTTATTTCCTTGTGAGGCAATTTCCAACATTTGGTCCAATGAATTTAGGAAAATATCTAATACATACATAATACATATTGCCGATAGTTCAATACAAATTCAACAGCACAACATTCAAAGATATACTCTTTTGACAGAGCATTTATATCACTTCTTATAATGGGCATGAGATCACATCGAGAATATTACATTACGCAACGTGAGCAGCTTCGTTTGACCGACACAAATATGATACAATTTTGTAATTTTCAAGGGAATATGCCTCAATACTATGAACAGTTTGCCAATGTTCACTGACTGCTACGAATTGAGGTTGTAGTTCACTAACATATATATTTAGTTGATTGATACTAGTAGATATGCATTCAACGTTTTGATGAAACACACTGAAAAGCACATTTTTTTCTTCATCGTTAGTGGATTCTTTATCTTCCGTTGGTTGCTACGCCTTCTTGGTTTTTTAATTTCTAACTCAGCAATCCGTTTGAAACAAGGACATTCAGGATCAGTAAGACAATGGTCAGTTTTCAAAGTTTTTCCCAGCTTTTTGTTGGTTTCTAGGCAATTGATGCATTTCTTTTCTAGTGTATTATTACATTCTTTGCTGTAATGAGCTTTCGCACAAATGTAACATGTTATACTATTCTGGCATGTTGATTGGGTATGGCCATATCTACCACATTTAAAGCATCTGGCAATATTGTAATATTCATTTGCTAAGCACCGCCTCCAACCAATATTCAAATGTCCATATTCAGAGATTTTCTTACTTAGATCTACATCAACCTCGAGAATAATATTTCCTTTGTTTGGTCTATTTTTTTGTTTAAACTTCGTTATGATTTTCATTACTGAATCTTGCTTTAGATTTAAATCATTTTGATTTTTTTAGAGCGCTCAAGATATCTTCATCCTCTCCTTCTATATATTCATTTTCCACTCTACAGATGATAACTTTTGGATTTTTTTGTTTTCCATCTTCGACTTGATATTTACTGCCAAATTCACTCTCTTTTTTTTATTTTTTCTTTGGTACCCGCATTACTGCAGTTAATGATTACTGATTTCTCTTCCTTCTCTAATATTCTCAACTCTAATGGCCATTTTTGTCGGATCAATACTGTCTCTATCAGTTTTGGTAACAGTACTTTCCTGTTTCTACTTAGGCTTTACAATAATGACATTTCTTGAATCTGCTGCAGCTGCATAAGTTTTAGTGCCACCGCAACTATCTTTACTTATTGTTGATATTCCTAGTAAGTGCGTTATTTGATCATTCTGTTTTTTCAGTTGTTCACTTTGTTCTTTAATTATCCTTTTTAGTTCTTTAAATTCTTCTGTAATTTTAGCTTCCACCGCATTTATCTTGATATCTATAATATCACATAAAGGTTCCTTCTTACATTTCTTGCAGGCTAGAATTAACATTCTCTCATTCTTTAATTCCATTACTTTCACTTCGGACGAAGTGAGCCCAAAACATGTTTTGCATTTAACGATTTTACAGTAATCACATGGAAAAGTTTCTCTACCTTTATCAGGCGGTTTATCACATGAATTACATTTCATTTTGATAATTAAAATTCATTCAAATGATTTTAACTACACCACTGGAAGTATATTTTTATCAACTAGAGGCAAAAAGTGATCATTTATATTTAGCGAACAAAAAACTGCACAATGAAATTCCTCGATTCAATTAGGAATTTTATTAACTTCGTGGACTTTTAATTGCACTTACTTTAGTTTTGCAACGTAATTTATAGCACAGTATTTCAGCTTCTCATTGATATCAAAAACATTTTTTAAATTGCACTTTTTCCAGTACTAAAATCTCTTTGAACACAGCACAGATAATTTTGTTTACTTTTGTAAGACCTTGGGAAACTGCACGTGTTCGGAAACTAGTAGATTACTACTTCAATGAAGTAGAGGGGAATGCCTATCTATAGGATTGGGATGCGACTGTAAGCGCAGCTACTTTATTTTTAATGTCTCTCGGAATTAACTATAATAACCATTTTCTATTTCACTCTAAACAATCTTGATCTACCAAATTAAGGACCAGGAAACAATAGTGCCCATAGAGTCACACCTAGTCCTATTGACACAACGTACACATTGGCATTCTACTCCACTTCATTGCCCAACCTGCGACAATACATTTTTACTGCATTGCTATTTTTTCAATTTCAAGAAAATTGCAATAACTTATCGAAGGCACGTTAGAACGAGACCTGCAATACGGATTACCACAATTTTACTTGCAAGCAAGAACATATTATTAATTGTAAGTAGCTCTTAGCCGTTACGTTAATATTATTTTTAATTTTAGAAGGAACTTTGCCTGAATATAGTACAAATAGATTGAAAGTAAGTCTGATATTCGAAATAACAAGACTAGTCAGATCGTTCATCAAAATCTGCCCACCCATAGCTCAGTTAGGATCCGAAAAGTTACTTATAGCACTATTAAATTGTTCAGAATTTTTCAATACAAAAATGTCGACGTACTCTACGGTAAACTTAGTTTGCGATATACTACATAGCCCAATCTACTTGAAACCCCTATTGAAGACTGTATTTATCGAGAAAGTTTACGATTTGACGAAATTTGTTCATTCGGAACATTGCGTAACTTGCATGGATCAATCGTGCACCGGTAAAATGGTGTTGAAGAGACTTACACACCTTGCAAAGAATGGAACGGGGAAGCAGTTTATCGAGAGCATGATGCGTGCTGGACGAATTGAAGATAAGAAGCAAACGGTGCTGATATTACCGTACATTATAGAGTAAGTATCGCTTAATGAATCAATTTATTTTTAATTCAAATTTGTAATGTTATCTATCGTACAGGTTGATAAGTATCTTATGTTGCACGTTTGTTTAGACAAACATAATTTGAAAAATACAAAGGACGCATCGGAAATATTAAATCCTATTTATGTTACCCAGAGGGGTAAACCACTAAGATCAAACTTTACCTGTATTTCGCAGAAATATTCCATTTACAGATTTCGGCGAATGTACCATCTCGAAGTCAAAGGGCATTTTGTTTTTCTCTTCACTTTTTTTTTATCTACTATTTGCTGCGTCATTAAAGTGATTTCGGTGATAATTTCAGGATTTTGACATATTTAAAATGATTTCAAGTTGAAAAATACCAGTATTTCGGTGGTGTACCTCTGACAATGAGACAAGAATGTATAAATCTTCAATCCACTTCAGTTTCTTGAAAGGATTGGTCTAGTAGTTATTCTCAAATTTTTAACCTCTATTATTCTATTCTATCTAGTTACTCAGAGTAAAAAAAGTTGAACATTTAGTTCCATTATTTTTGTTAGTTTTCTCTATAAGTCTGACAGTCATTTTTGCTAACTCTTCCTACAAGAGTCAGCACAAGAAACTTAACAATCTGTACATCAAACGACAATTCTTTACAGCTTACTTGGTGTTTTAGGGAAGAAAAGACTCTCGCAGATATATTATTAACAAAAGGAGGGTTAACCGTTTTGATGCAGCTGTTAAAGGAAGATTCGGATTTAAAAAGACGGGCCATTAAAACATTGTACGTGTTATCGGCCAAAAGACTGGAAATAGCCAATCCTAAAACGGTTGCCATAGACGTAGCTCATACATTAGCAACGTTCAGTTCTCAACGATCAGACAATCAGACGTCTGTGAAATTAGTGACTTTTAAATTAGATGATGGTCAACACGTGAAAGCTGATAGAAATTTATTGATGGAAAAGTCTGTGTATTTTACCAACTTGTTGAGCGGATCTTTTAAAGAAGGTAGTGAAGACGAAGTGTGTTTACAGGATGTTGAATTCAGGACTCTGAATTGCCTATTGGACTTGGTCGGATCGGTAAATGAGATTAGAAAAATCGCTCTTGATACCCTACTTGATGTTATAGCTTTAAGTGATAGATATTTAATGAGTGACATTTGTAGCCTCGTTACTAATTACGTGGAAAAGTATAGAATGTCTATAAGGAATGTTGCGAAAATATATAAATGGTCCTTGGAATCGCGATTAGATTTGCTACGAGTTGAATCGATAGCTTACGCTTTAGTGGTCGATGTCAGTGAGCCTATACGATTTGACACATTTAATACCCTGTTTAGCCTCGGACACAGTGATGATTTAGTCAGTGACATTAATAAACTTATAGAAAGATACCTTATTTCGTTTGCCTGTAGGTAACTGTATCCTTTGTTTTTTTATTGTTCTCGTTTTGTTTATTGTTCTCGTTCGATTATTTATTAAAATGTTTTATAAGATTTTTATAAACGTTTTCATTTAAAGTGCAAAATTGTGGTATTTAAAACTTTTGATAGTTGCGAAAGCCCGTAGTACCAACATTTTATTTATATTTGTAGTACTTTCAAAAAATACTTTCTAACCAACATCCACAACTAGTCGTTCATAAATTTCAACAATACCCAAAGTTGAAGTGAGAGGGATAAATGTAAACAAATAATATTCATGGAATACGTTAGTGTGACAGTAATTTTGTTTGAAATGCCCAATTGTTTGCAGGTATTAAAAAAGTAGTTTAAAGGTATGTAACAAAATTATTTTTAATGTTTAACACGTTGACGGCCACGGTACTTTTCGGGATCCCGGTGTAAAAATTCAATTTAATTTTTTTTTAATCTTTCGAATTATCTCGTAGTTGCTTACGTTACAGAAGCTCTTTCAATGCAGTAAAAGTTTGGTCAATTCGTGCACAGAAACGCTTCATTACAGCCGAGTCAGATATGCATTTAAATTCGTTAGAAATTAATCGGACATCATGTTTATGTCTTTTCTGGAGTGTGCTGTTTTATAATTAAATTATTAATGCACACCCCGATAAAGTTTCTGTTCATGTAAGCCAATTTTCATTGTTCCCTGATATTTCCCTCATATTTACTCTGACACTCGTAGTTACACAAATATGAGTAATAAACAAAGTAAGAGATAACTCATAGTTGACAGTCAATGTGTTAAATGAATACATTCTTAAAAATGGAAATAAAATAATAATGAATACCTACGAGCATAACATCTCTATATATATTTTTACAAGTCTACTGTCACTATAATTGCTAAATTAGTGTTGACGTAATTTCGGTTCCACTGATAATTAGAGTGACAGTATTTTTTTTTTGTGTGCGTTTTGTTTGTTTTATTTACCTTAATTATATTGTTTTTAACCGACTTCAAAAAAGGAGGAGGTTCTCAATTCATCGCAATATATATTTTTTTTATTATTAAACTTTTATAAATATATTTATGAGTAAGTAGATAACATCGAGTAGATAACAATCGATCACAAGCTCACATGGGAAAGCCACATAGATAATCTTGCATCTAAGCTATGTAGCATTTGCTTTGCCATCAGACAACTTAAACCAACTGTGACTTTGGATGTACTAAAACTAACCTACTACGGACTAGTGCATTCGGTACTTTCATATGGCTTGATTTTCTGGAGAAATTCGATCCATATGAATAAAGTCTTTCTCTTGCAAAAAATAATTATTAGATGCATGATAGGAGCCTATCCTTCGGAACATTGTCAGCAACATTTTATCAAGTTATCAATAGGTTTGTTCCAACTTGATACATAATCATTCCGTAACGGTACAGCGCATGCTTATTGCACTCCAAGCGTTCCAACTTAATTTGTACGATGTGCGGGTTGATACATAATTCGTTCCAACTAAAAAATGGATGATTCCGGAATCGTTTCTGTACCGTCATATCGATTCACAAATTTTTGTGGAACTGTTAGAACTGACTTGTGCAAAGCGATCGATATATGTTGATAGAGCCGATAGAGGTTAGTTTTAGTTAACTTGACCTACATATTTACAGCGTTTTTATGTTTTGATAGGTAGATAATAACAAAATATACATTTTTATTTAGAAAATACTGTTTATAAATCATATTTTGAAAATCAGTGATATAGAAGGAGACAGTGATTTTTTTGATGATGATGATGATGCTAGTGACGATGATTTAGAATTAATGGTAAATTGAGAAAGGATAATAAAGAAAATTATTTGAACAGAATATATTCATTATTTACCCATATTTTCCATTGTGCTCTAGAATATAGAATGATACAATAAAAAATCAATAACATCCATAATTATAAAACAGAAAACTTTTTTATTTTCTTTTCGAAAAGTTTGGTTAGAATTTTCTTCCTCTTCTATTTTATCTATTTATGAAACATCAGCAGTTTTAAAAGCGTTCCAACTCATTTTCGATTCCAAAACCATTCAGAGATGGGCTTGCGCAGTACATCGTTCATAAACTGATGTTGGTATGATACAAGAACGGTACCAAACACCAAGTTGGAACAAACCTAAATATTAACTCTTCCATGCTTGTTTATTTATCTATCTGTGTTATAAACTAGTCACAACGAAATAGGTATCACTGAATTAATTATCTAAATCTTTTTAAATGTCCACCGTATTTTCCATTAAAATTTATACAAATAACAAGCACACCTAAATGCATATTTTCAATATAAAAAAACAAAACTTTTTTTATGAGGAGAAAAAAAATATAAAATGAAAAAATTAAAAGTATCTGATACAAAGAAGGCATCTAAGTGAAATTGAAGTAGCAAGAGCCGTTACACTATTACAAGAAGGACGTTTGCAGAGTGACAGTAACAAGTCAATCAACGATTCACCGAATGTGGAATAGATTTCAAGACATGTATTATCCGTAGAAGACCATATACACGACGAAAAAGAATAACTACGCCCCGACAGGACCGCCAAATTGTACGATTATCCCTACAAAATAGGACAAGAACAGCTACACAGTTAAGAAACATTTTCAGGCCTCTGGTAGACGCATATCTCTACAGACTTCATGAAGCCCAACTGCACTCAAGAAGTCAAGCTATTGTTCCTCATTTAACACCAGCTCATCGTAGAGCAAGAAGAAACTTTGCAGCAGAACATGTAAATTGGGATATTCATCAATGGAGCCATGTTCTTTTCACGGATGAATCAAGATTTAGCCTTTACTCCAACGATGGACGTGTGAGAGTCTATATAGACGCCGTGGAGAACGATTTTTGGATTGCAATGTAAGAGAAGTAAGAGCTTTTGGCGGTCGTTCTGTAATGGTTTGGGGAGGTATTCAATTGAATGGGCGTACACGCTTACATGTTTTTGAAAATGGCACTCGTAACAGCTAGGCGTTATATCGATGAGATATTAACACCTATTAGTTCCACTGGCTCATCTAGAAGGCCCTAATTTTGTTTTACAACAAGATAATGCAAGGCCCCACACTGCAACAATTGTTCAAAACTTTATTGAAGAAGAAAATCTTACTGTAATTGAGTGGCCAGCCAACAGCCCTGACTTAAACCCCATTGAACATCTTTGGAGCATCATGGGAAGAAGATTGCGGGACGAGAACAGCATCTACAGGGAATAAAAAAAAATTGAATAAAAATAGGGAGGATAAAGGGGATTAAAATATTGAAAAACTGAGGAACAAAAATTTAATTGAAATCTCTAGGAAAAATTAAGCTTTATAAGGGGATGAAACAAGTCTATTGATTCTGAAAAAAATCTGATTCAAAATGGGTTTAAGAGTATAATAGCTTCGTACTGATTCTGAACGTGCTAAGGTAAACATTACATTGCGTATTATAACTGTACTATACTGTACTAGGACTGTGTAATTTGTTGATGTCGAACTAAAAGAACAAATATTCAGTAGGCAATGAAGTCCGTTTTTATTCTCAAAAAAATATATTAAAATCGCAGACGCAGGCAGATGTTTTCACTCAACGAACCTTGATATCGTCGACAATATTCGTACATACGTAAAACAATATTTTTCAGGAGAGCATAAAAACGTATTATTTTATAATTTTCTAAATAATAAAAAATCTAATTACTATATTCTGATAATAGTGGACATAAAAAAGCGACACCATAATTTATTTATTTAAACGGAATCAACCCCAGTACAAAGTAAAACACATAAATGATACAGATAATTGTAAATTAAAAAAAAGTTAAAATTAAGTCAAATGAGTTCTTTACTCATAGGTGAAAAGATCGGCCCTTAGATTAAGTATTGTAAATCCGTCTGTAATATTTTATTTTTACTCCAGTGCATTCGTACAGATTGCCTTAAATTTATTAAAAGAAATGCCTGTAACCTCAAGATTCAATTGATTGATTACCCTCAATGTTCTTTCAATAGGTAAATGCATGCCATAATTTGTATTGTGAAATGGAACATATTTAATTGCCTAAGGACTATATTAGGATTATTGAAAGAAATAATTTCTATGAGTTACGGGGATATGACTAAACCATTTAATAATGTATAGATAAAATTCAAATCTGATATGTCTCCTGCACTTAAGTCGGCTCATTCATTTCATTTAAAATCCTAGTATAATTGTGATCGGTTACCCAAATATTTAATTTGAAGGCACAGTATCTTAGACATTTATTTTGTATTCTTTCCACTACTAGACAGTGTATATGAGATTGTGGAGACCAAATTATAGAAGCATACTCCAACTGAGATACAACTAAGGTTTGATAAACTCTTTTTTATTAGGGCTCGGAATTGTATTCGGTTAATTCGAATACTCAAAATTCGATATTTTTAGATCAAAAATATTCGAATAGTCGATTAGTCTAATATTCGAATAATCGATATTCGAATATTTAACTAATTGAACTAGGTATTAGATACTCGAATACTTAAATATCGGAATACTGTAAATGTTCAAATATTCGCATTATATATTTTGAATTTATTTATATACCTAATTTAAATGTTTCTTTTTTTATCTATTGCTTAAAAATAAAGGTAGAAGAAAAACGACTTACAAAATTCTGACTTGGGATTCGGGACTATTACGTTACTGCAACATTGTATTTATTTATTTCCTTGTAGCGCTGGCGTTTTATTTGGTAAACGAGGGGAACCCCAACGTTGTTTCACATTCGCACTTTTCACATGCTTATTTATGTTTGTTAAGTTATAACTTACTAGGAATTTTATTCATATTAGTGTGTGTATGTCTGTCAACGCTTGCCCGCTACAGGTGTTAAATATGAGTTCAGAATGCAGTAAGATTTGGCTTTACTTCGATAAAAAAGAAAATCGTGTGTAGTGTAAATTATGTACTTACAATGTGATACACAGAAGTAATACCAGTAATTTGTGGAATCAATTAAGAACTAAGCATCATACCAAAACAGGTATGAATTATACGTTAATCAAATACTCAAACATTCGAATACTCGTATACCTACTCAAATATTCGA